AAGAAAGGCTCCCCTGAAAAGATGTGATCGTATTCGTATGTAGGTTCTCAATACTATTAGAACCCCACGAAGGGTAAATGCGGGTCCTTGTTTCCGCCACAAAATTTTTCTAGGTTCCCTCATGTTACACAAAAGGTGACATCGATGTCGGAAAATGATTTCATTTACGCACTCATTTAATTGTCTGTTGAAAAAGAAGAGAATATTGTGTAGTCCTGAAGGAAAGTGATCTCTCCATGCCGGCAGAAAACCTTACGCCCTCTTTGTTGGGGTCACTGGGTCCTTTCTCATCTCAAAAAGTAATTCTATAACTGCTTTTTGTCTTTGGCAATATTTCTGCATGGTGCAGCATGCCTTGATGAGTTTTTTTTATTACTGCAGATTACTCAATAACTGTTTCGTACAAGCATTTAAAGTGCTCTTTAAAATTTTATTAACATACTCTCCTTTCTGATTTTTTTCTTTTTTTGGCTGAGAAATGACTAGCAGAAGTAACGTAAGCAATCTAAAGAGTTTCCCTTCTCCTTTTGCTAACAGAGAGAAAATAGGATTTCTAAGGGTGTGTACCTTCAGTTCCTCCAATCAACTGCAATAGTGAATTTACTTTGGAAAATAGGAATAGCATTTTTAAACTTTCTTAGGTAGGCTTCTCTTCCCTCTATCAATGGAAAAACTTTCCTTTTTCAATATACTTAGAGTAGATTTTATTTATCATAACTTGAAAATCTGTTGACTGTTTCGTCTTTTAATCGGTAGATGTAGCTTGTAGGTAAGGGGAAAAAACGATCGACCTTAGGCAAAATTTTGATTCTTCCAATCAACATTGATTTGATCGGAGCATTACTGATTTAGTGTTATAATATATTTTTGATTGCATATTAATTTACGAATTTTGTTTTTTCAACAGAATCACCGGCTGGTCGCTATGCTGAATCTGCAGTTACCCTCCAGTACCGGCGTCCCGTTCTTGCTGAAGTGAAAGAGGCCCTCTCAGAAGATGAACTGGCTAGGCGACAAGCAGAAGCAATGCAACGCCTTTACCAAGAGGAAAGGCGTCGCAAGTACCTTCAAGAGTTACATGATATATCAAGCAGAAGACACACTGATCATTTTATGTAAGTTTTATTTCCTCTCATCCTATCTACTGCTAAGTGCATTTATTTTACTGTCTATCATGACTAATCAAGAGCAGAATGAATTTTGCCAAATTGAATCGAACGTGAAGAACACTATCACAGGTAATGGTTTGAAAACAAGGTCAAGTTTAAATGAATCTTAAAAATAGAGAACTATAAGTAAATCCAAAAAGTTTTGGAATGGCATATTTACTCGTACCTTTGAAAAATATTTTAAAAAGTGGCTGTTTTTCCGCACAGTCTTTGGCCATCATTTCAAATATTTTTACTGTGTTCATCCTGGTTTCCTGTTTATTTTCTGTGCCTTTGTCTACACCCTACCATGATCGGAACTTCTTATTCTCATTTTACAGACCATCCCAGAAGTCTCCAATCCCATTAAACAGATACGATGATTTCTTCCCAGATGAATCTCCCACCATTTCTCGACAACGCGATCGAACACCTGAACCAAAATTAGTTGCAAGAGCCTTGTATAATTTTGTTGGACAATCATCCAGGTAAATATTTTTCTTCTTTTTTTTTCTTTTTTTTTACATTTTTCCTCTTTTAGAACTAGAAAATAAGTATAAGTATCCTTGAATATTAAATCTTGTAAATTTATGATGAGACAAGTTGCATTTTGCTCTTGTAAGGAAAGTACTCCTGGACAGTTTTTGTTGCCCTAATAGTGATCAAAAGTAATCTTTAAGTTTTATTTTCTTGTCTCGTGAAGTACAATAGTGAGGAATCATTTTCCATCTACTACGTCATGGATGTTGTTGGGGTGTCTACCATCAGGATTTTCCCGATTCTATCAGGATTTGAGGTCAAGCAAGATTTAATCCCGATTTTATCAGGATTTGAGGAAAAATCGGTCGTAACATTAGGATTTGAGAAAAGTCGGCCGTTCAATCGGATTTATTTATGTTTTCGCATACGCATGTGCAGAAATTTTAATTTTTCTCCGCAAAAAATCAGAATTCGATCAGGGTTTGGAAAAATTATGAAATCAGGATTTAGCAGTAAAAAATCCGGAAATATCAGGATTTCCCAAAATGAAAAAAAAACTAGTCACCCTGTTGATGATGAGATGGATTACGGAGTACATAACAATTTTTTCAGCACAGAGATAGCTTTAAGGCAACCTCTTGCTTGCAAGTGTACTCATCTGGGTTTTGAAGTAGAGAATTTTGGCTCAATTAAAGTATCAATTTTCTAATTTTGTCCTCTTTTTTTGCTTTCAGAGAGCTGTCTTTTCGCCGAGGTGATATTATATTTGTACGGAGACAGATCGACAAAAATTGGTATGAAGGAGAACATAATGCCATGATAGGGCTCTTCCCAATCAACTATGTCGAGGTAAAGTTATCTAGCCACTTCACTCTCCAAGAATTTTTGCTTTTTAAAAAACACCAGCCTGAGTATCAAAGCTGAATTTAAATCTGTTTTTTAAATCATTTAAACAGTGTTTAGTTTTTCAATGAAGTTCACAATAAAATATCTTTAACACTCTCCTTCTAAACTATTCACTTTAAAAAAGTATTCAATCGATTGCTTTAATCTGTCTCTTAGAATTGCCTTTTCCTCAAACTTAGCAGGAGGCTTCTTTTTGTTTTATTTAATCAGCTCAAGATCAGTTTTTTTTATCTTTTTAAAATCAAGAAGCATTGATCTCCTTGTAATATCACAAATGACCTCTTAATGGGCTGTAAATGATTCGATAGGATCTCTTTTAACGTGTCAATAATTCTTAAATAAAAACATGCCTAATTTTTCTATCCTTGTTTTTGTTTAGATCATACCGTACGACAATATCAGAACAATACCAAAAAAACCAACCGAAGGTCAAGCTAGAGCAAAGTTTAATTTCATCGCTCAGTCTCACCTTGAGCTCTCACTTGTGAAAGGTAAATTCTTTTTTCTTTTTTCTCAATAAAAAATTGTAGTCATAAATCATTGTGAATCTCAGTGTTAGAAAAACAAGAAAGAAGTGTGAATATGAATATTTTAGATTCCTGCTGAAGAGTAGGTAAGTAAGGAGTAAAACCATACGGCTATTTTTTTGGAATTGAACCATTTATTCACAAAAAAGTGTATGCGTTAAAACCCTGTAATCCTTGGTTTCCTTTATCTATCGCAGTGTCAAAAGCTTAGGATATTTTGAGGTTGGAGCCTTTTTATGAACAAATGGTTCAATTGATGTATGACTTTAAGAACATTTGAGCAGTACATTTTGAATTTTGGGGGCTGTCATGTAGTAGTCCTACTTTGTAGATAGCGCAACATTTTGGGGGATGAAGTTATGAAAGTGTCTCTTTGTCAAGAAAGCCACTAAAAATAGAAGGATGGCACTGCTGAGTGTTACGCAAGTCATAAAAGAAGGAGTTCTCATTTGCGTTTTGATGGGCGGAAGCCTTAAGTCAGAGATGAAAAAGAGTTCATTGCATATTACTTGAACATTCCCCCTACAAAATGATTTATGATTAATATTAATTGAAAATAATTGCAACTGCAATTTGATATTATCCTCTGAAGTTTACATCATCAAAGTTTGTCACTGATTTCTTTTTATTTTGCAGGAGAGTTGGTAGTTTTAACAAGGAGAGTTGACAGTAATTGGTTTGAAGGGCGAATAGGAAATAGGCGAGGCATCTTTCCTGTCTCTTATGTTGAAGTTCTTACCGAGCCAGGAGAAAGAGCTTGTAAGTATTTCTCAGTATGCCTTTGAATTCCACTTTAGATTTAGACTCTCTACAGTCGCCTCAATGCTTGATATGCATTTACATTCTGCGAAGGTCAGGATACTCTTCTGCAAAAAATATTCATGTTCATAGGTTATTGGTGAATAAATGTTGACTTTTTGCAGTCTATGAGCTCATGACATTTCCTTTTATAAACTGCACTCTTCCTATCACTCGAGTACTAATCATGTACCAGTAGTGAAAGTAGTAGCCAGTCGTAGCCTGCGAATGAAAAACTCTACAGGCCAGCAGTGACACATTGGTGGTGGGCACTTGCAATTTTGAAGCAATGGGTGCCATTTTAGAGGTCATAATCGATGCATTCAAATCAAAAGCAGCTGTGTAGCATGCAGAGCCTATGTATTTGTACGTGGTTCCTTTTAGCATAATTGAGTCTAATTTGTCGTAGAAAATAAAATTCTTCCCTTTTTCACGCATGTGATCCTCAATCTCATTTATTATGTATGAGATGGATGAATATTATGATTAATCTGTTTGAATCAAACCTGAAGACTCAATCCAAGAAAAAATTATTTGTATTTTAATGAGTCATAAAACGAGTGACTCGTAATACATTTATTTATGTAATCCTTACTTTTTCTTTAAAATAGAAAGTAATCTCCTAAAAATGCAAAATCCTAACATAATTTGACATCCTCTTATGCTGTCATTGTAAACTTTGTGCAGTTATTTAAACTTTTCATTCTCTCGTTCAATTTTCCGTCATGGACTTATCTTATTTTTGGTATTCTCTTGTTTCTTGTAGTCAGTCCTGTAAGACCCACAACTCCTGCCACTCCAGTCACCCATTCAAGTCTTTCCAATGGTTCAAGTCAGCCCATTCAACTACACTCAATGGTTTGTTGTAATTTCAGTAATTCCTTCTCTTTTCCATTCTCTCCTAATTTTATGGTCGTCTCGGGCCCCTTCGCAAAAACAGCTAAATAAGAGTCCTTTAGCCTTGTATAAAGAAATTTTTGGGAAAGTTCCATTTAAAATCAAGGAGGGACACTGCATGATCTCCCCCTTGTGATTAGTGAGTTAAATTTTCCCGCGAGAGAATTGAACTAGATATCGAAGTGTGGCTTGTAGGAGGTTTCAATAACTTATTAACTTTTAAAGATATCGATGTGCTCCTTTCATTGGAGTTTACTTGTTTTATACGGATTTTTTTTTTAAATCAGTGTATAAAATCTGTCTTTTTACAATACCTCCAGTAATTTCTCTCATAAAAAATTAAGTCTACAACACAAAAATTGGCAACCAAGGCGTGTAGTCAGGTGAGCAACTCGACCTATTGTCTATACATGCCCAAGGATTAATTGGCTTTAGCAAGCTAGAGTCCTTTAAATGTGCCAATATGACTGCGTTTCACTTCTAAACGATAGATAAAGCCGCTTACCTGACATCGTTCCTTAGCTGCCCGCTTTTCATGTCGCAGACTGTAGTCATAGTTCTTTAGGAACAACTGGAAATCTTCGCTGGGTCTTCTAAACTGGCGTTCAAAATATTGCTAAAGTTGCTGAACTTTCAACCAAATGAATTTACAATATATATCATTGATCTCGGATTTGATATTACATACTGTAAGAAGGAAATAATCCAATTTTTTGCTAATTATCTTTTTTCAGAGCGATGGATCAAGCGATAGACTTGACGGAAAACAAGATATGTCTCTAGTCAATCAAACATTACACATAGACACCCAGTCAGATCCTATACCGTAAGTTGGACTCATTCCTTTTATTTTTTTCGAGAGAGTCCAAAGACATTGCTGGATTGTTTGACTTCCTGATAGCCTAGGGAAACATCATTTTGTTTCAAGCTTGAATATCTTTAGTCTTTACCTTGCAATGCAAACTTTTTAACAACACTACGCACCAATGTAAGGAATTGTAATTACTCATATACAGGGTTATCCAGGGTTAGACGGCCAGACTGCAGGAGCTGAAAGACCCCCAAATTTCCTCTTTAAATTGAGATTTTGATTTTTTTAGATCATTCATGAATTCAGGGCATAAAATTACAGGGGATTATAAATTTTCATGGATTTGATTCACAGCCGTTGCCAAAATTCAAGAAAAAGATTTACTTTCCGAAATTTAAGGGGAGGGGGCGTAGCTCTGACTGGGGGCACTTTTGGGGGGAAAAAAACAGTACAACAAATTTCCTTCCATTTTAATTTCACAAGCTCAAATTTGTTTATAATTCCCTAAGTATGCATCATTTTGCCTTTATTCATAAATCTGCGACTCTTTTTTAACTCGTAAAGGACATACTTTTCAGCAATTTTCTCTTTTGAAAGAATGGTCTCATAGGTTCAATTCTCACCACATTGTTTCTAAAATGAGCTCAAATAATCGTTCCCTGAAGTAATGAAAATTGGCTCTTTTTTCAGATACCGAGCTCTTTATAACTACCGTCCGCAAAATGAAGATGAACTTGAGTTGCAAGAAGGCGATACAGTGTATGTCATAGAAAAATGTGACGATGGATGGTATGTTGGTTCAAGCCAGCGTACAGGTGCCTTTGGTACTTTTCCCGGCAACTATGTTCAACGCGTTGCGTAACTAGTCTGTACTTAATCCCGTTGAATCCTATGTATAATTAACCAAGGTGCTGAAATGCAATCTTCATAAATCTGCTATGGTAAGTCATTTTATTTTGCTTATTCGTTTTTCCTTGATATGCAATTAGTGCACACTGATAGTGAAAAAAGCGAAATCAGAGCAACTTTATCCCATTAGAGCAAGTTTAAAAATCAGTTTGAATAATTAAAGTCCTATTCGAAGCTCACTTAATTGTTTTTAATTTTGTGACTCAATTTCTGTGTGTGAGATAATAAGACAGAAAATTACTGTGTCTCTCATAAAATATAATGTAGAGCCTTGTTTTCTTTTTATGAGGTTTTGGAATATTAATTTGTACACAATAATGTGTAACACAATCACAATTGGTTTTTGTTGCAGGTTTGAAGTTTTCTCCCATGTAATACTCCTTCAAATTGTTTGCCCTCAAATTTTGGCCTAATTTGTCACTGGATACATACCTATTTTTTTAAAATACTTCCATGTATTCTAAATAAAAAGAAATCTATTTTTCATTAATTCTATTTATGTAAATACTGTGCACCAAATAACTAGTTGATTTGTTTTGTTTGTTAAATTTAAATTTTTATTTTTTAGTCTATATTAGGCATTAAGCTATGATGCTACACCTATATTTTTATTTACAGTTGTGTATTTATATAATCTGAAGATTTTTATTTTTGTTAACTCTTCGTATTCATTCGTGCTTCAGAAGAAGGAAAATTATAAACTCAAAGATCGGTAGGATTGTTAATTACAGTTCTCTCCCCAACTTAAAAAAGCATTATTGTTGCTTTGAGCCACGGTGACAACAGAGGCTAACGCATGATATTTGTAAGGTCCTCCTCTACAAACGTTAATCTGTGAACTCTCCAAAAAATTAATTCTACTTATTATTCTAAGACTAGCTTTATCCTATCTCTCTTAAAACAGGATTCATTTTAAACGATAGTGAGATGGTTAAGAGATGTCAAACCAAGTCCTTCCATTTATCTTTTGTTATGAATGTAAGTGCCTTTTCAGAGAAAAAATGATAGGCACTCAACTAATTGAAAATTTTTCTTTATTAGTTTCCTGTATGTTCTTCCATCATGTGCCTGAGGGGGGCACATCCACCTTATTTTCCTGTTGTCACTCTCACCCAAGATTTTGTCATCAAGATCGATGGCACTTCTGAAGCACTTATGGAAGTATTAACTTGCCGAAATTTTTGATTGCTTTCGCCCTCTAGTATTAATCGGTTTTCAAAATTAATTTTAAATGTACTTTACTGAAAGATGATGCAAATTTTTTATACACTTCAAAATCATCCTCATCAGATCAACCAAACTTTTTTTCTCTTTCCGTAGTGCCTCAGAGTATTTATTGCTTCAAAATATTTAAACCAAGCAAAGAGTACTTTCAAACTCCTTTTCAATCAAGTCTTGTGATTTTAAGATGAATTGTGTAAAAATTTTAAAAAATATGTTCATCAAGCATAAAAGTTTGCTGTAGTTTTTTCTGAAAGAAACTTTGTGTGTGCGCATTAATTGCTTAGGTATCTTCATGCTTGGTTTGTATTTTTTTCCTGAAAGTACCCACTGGCTTAGAGTTAAAATATGCTAGGCTCTCAACCAAAGAATCTGAAATTGGTATACCCATTAATATTGTTACCTCTGTTCATTTCAAACGCAAGTGTTATTCAAGTTAAAATTATAAGAAACATGTTTATCTTTAACCAGAGGCAGATTATTGCGCATATATTTACTGTTGCAATTCATAGCCACTCCTTCTCTTTGTTTGCTAAAACGTTTAAGTAAAAATTTCGTTGTCTGTGTAAGCTGTGCACGAAAATTATATTGTAAGCCTCCAAAACTAGATTCAGATTAAGTTAAAAATGTTTTGTCCTTCAAACTCAAACAGGAGTGGCTATCTTCACCCATGATGCCAAAGCTATACAACTATTAAAGAAGAAGTATCTTTTTGTATCAGTCACTCGATTGTTTAATTGATAAACACCTATGTATATCGTAAATTATTTACCTCTTTGCATAGTGGAATGATAAATGACCAGATTAGGCATGATAATAAAGATTTTTTTTCTTTAATCTTCCAAAATCAGGGTGGCACTCATAGGAATGTAAGCATTATACAATCAATAAGGTTTTTACTTCTATCTGGACAAGCAAAATTATTGCAGCTTAAAAATAATAAGTATTACCGGATTACTTATCTGTCTTTTAAGTCAAATATTATAAAAAAATATTAGCTGATCAAAATGCCTTTATAGAATTGTTAGATGTTTTTCATGAATCTTTTACTTTTATTACCAAGAATTGTTTTTATTTTAGCTAATTTAATATACATATTTACCAAGAGTAATTTTGCTGTTATATTGTTCTCCTCACCTTTCCTTTTTTTTAAAATTTTATACACTTCCGTCAACTAATAAAGACCTCCAATGATTTGAATGAGAAAATGAGAAATGAGAAATTTTTTTCAATAACGTATTAGACATTACAAAACAATACATCTTAGTAATAGATACAACAAAATCCCATAGAGTACATAGAGTCGTAATATAAGTGGGAGAGCTGGCGCCACTTCTAAGCAATTTCCAGGACCCAAATTCCAAGATTCCTGTGCGGCGCCAGGTCCCTTTTTCGATACATAATCGATTGTTTGCGATGCACAGGGACCCGGCCATATTCCACACCGCCATTTTGGATCAAATATGTATCGAAAAAATGACCCACATACCGGGCTCGGAACTTGTCTAGTAGAACATGGCGCCAGCTCTCCCACTTACATTACAACTCTATGTACTCTACGCAAAATCCAAAGGTGCATTAGAAGTTAGAAATCTGAAGAAAATTTTACTCCTGTTTTAGGCACATTGAAAGTCAGTTTACATGCATACAAAAATGCACTTACATTGCAAATTAAAAAGCAGTAGCTGTCTTTTTAAACGTTATTTTTAGAAGGATTTACATTAACCAAATGCAGAGGCCTGGTACCTCTGCAGTGCGGTAACTGTGAGGAAGTAATGCGCTCTTTCACGAGGTGCAGGAAAGATAACATCCGACAAAAATCTACATGCTCTTATACAATCTTTTCAAACAAAATTGTTTATTTAGTAAAAACTGGGATGGATTGATGTTTGATTCAATTGCTTAATTTTGCGGGTGAAAAGACAAGATTCAACTTTTATTAGTGCAGAGGGCTAGGAAAAAAATGTGCGACACAATTTTGATTTTTGAAAATGTCTGTTTTCAAAAAGTGTCAGCACACTCCTTTTCACAAAATTCCCGGATGGTGCCGCTTAATCTGAATCTTAAAGCAGATGTATTCACTTCAGTGGAAATTTACTTACGGTAAAATTGACCCATAGGATCAAAATAACTCTGAAAATAACCGTTCTTTAGATAATTTTGAGAGCCAAATTAAAACGAATGTAGAGAAAATAATTTTATCGATTATCTTCGTCTGTGTTTGTTTTAGAGGAAGGGAGATTGTCTAATTCATCTGGTGGCATGTCACTGGTGTTGTCTGTGGTGTTGTTTTCGACCACTTCCATCCCAATGTCTTTGGCTTTAGGTTCAGTTTCAGTAGCTCCTACTTGCTTTCGACTTGGAATAATTTGAACAAACGCATCTTTCCACGAGGATCCATTGCAGACCGCTACCAAAATTTGGAAAACTGAAAAAAAATGATACTGAATTACTTCACTAATTTTAATTAAACAATTCTGAAAACCTTTAACTCCTTTAATTATGGAGGCAAGCCACATATATTCAGGTGCCATGAAACTGCCGCTGAGAATTCTCAAACTTGGAACATTTTTTAATTTAAAGAGGGATGATTTAAAAAAGTGACATTTGTATTGAAAAATGAAGCTCTTAAAATGTGAGGGTTATCCGACTTCTCCAAATCTGGCCTTTTCTTTAAACCTCATGATAAATTGAAAAGGACACTGTACGAAAAAATGGTAAATGCTGCTTAAAAGATTCCCATTCGGCAATAAAGTTGAATTAGATTGATTTGAGGGTTAAAAAATGGCCAACAATTGGCCTACGAATTTTTTGAGCAAATAGGTCAAAAATGCCAGCAGGCCGATTATTGAAAGTTGAAGGCAGCCCAATAAGACATCGAATTGCGATGTACTGCATGGTTAAGATAGGGCTATGTCTTATCGTGTCAGGCTGACATAGTTTCAATAATTGGGCCCCTGGCCTGGTGGAGGAAATAGGATTTGATTGTTCATGATTAGACTTTGGCACTTGTAAGGAAAATCCTCGCCACTACTTAAGAACAAGCACACACTCAACTTCCCTACTTATTCCAATCCCTTTCAGCTTGACCTTCTACGGCATAATGTTACTAATTTAGGGAAGGGACACTGCTCTAATAAGATGCCTGCCAAAACCGCCGTGGTGTGCAATTTGATTCATGTAAACCCTGGTTTTTCTTGTTAGCAGGAAATTTTTTGTAACCAGTGCTAAATTAAAAAATTAGTATCTTACTTAGGAGTTGATCTCGGTAATTTTCATTTAACTTGCACTCTACTAGAATTTTTAAACTCTCAATGATTCAGTCATGCTTTATTCTATCTATCCCCCAAACAATTAGGTGATGTTGCTCTTGACAGCTCAGATATCAGTATTAGATTCATAGGAGCCACCATAATTGGTCCTAACCTAGGTCATTTTAGTCTAATTGATGACTCATTAGACTACATAAATGCAGCTAAAATTTTGGTGAAATAAAAAATCCCTTTTATTTAAAGTAAATTAAAAGATTCTGCTCCTCCTTACCATGATTAACAGTCAAGACTTTCCGGGTTTTTAGTTTAAGAAAAGAGTCAATGGGAAGTCTTCCATGAGAGATACCTTGATCCATAGCTTTTTTAAGACACAGCCCCTGAAATTAAAAGATTCCTGAAATTAGAGAGGGCATCCTGTGTGTCTCAGTGAACTGACATTGACAATCATTGCATACCTAACAACACAAAAATCTAAAAACAAAGCCGCAGGCAAATAAATTATCAAGAAAATAAAGAAAATAGTGCACCATAGTACACCACAGAAAATTCAAGACTTGGCTTTGCTTAAAGAATAATGAGGGAGATAAACTTAGGTCGGTACATAGATGCAGACCAATGAAATCCCTTTTTCCTTTGCAATGGCAGAAATGTTGGACCCGCAATAAGAGGGGGCAGAAGGCTCTAAGGGGTCCAGATGTCTGCTGAAATTTTGACAAATTTGTTTTAAAAATCTCTTAATCACGTCTGGGAGGTATTGAGGGGGGCTTAGAAATACAGTCTGCGGGTGGGCTCCCAATTAATGAGTTATGCCAGAGTGTGGATCATCTTTTTATACCTCAAATTACTCTTGAATATTTTTTTTTCTCTTTGAATGAAGCTTATTCCCTCTTCTGCTCTTAATTCTGACTGCTAATATTATTCCTTGCTGCTTAACGCGGGTCGATGCTTTTCCAGTTTAGTTTTTGTTCAACCTTAGTTCTAGGTATAGTTAAATTTTTGTATAGTTACTTCAACTGGGTCTATTCATCTGCAATACTTGTGAGATGAATGAACACCTCATCCTCTACCGAATCAGGGACACACTTGTAAATTGATAATGAGCTGGGCCCAGTTTTGTCTTTTTCTCTTTAAAATTAATGGATCAAACAATTACAATATTTTACACATATATGCCTTGCTTACTTACCTTATGAGAGTTATGGTCCACCAGACCACCGATTATATAAATTTTCTCCTCATTTAATTCCTCGATTACATTGTCGGAGTCACTTGATAAATAGACTAAATCCTCTTTCTTCGTGGTGGCAAAGACCTTGTCGTAAGGATCTGACTCAAAATGAACCTAGCACAAGACACCAGTGAATCAATGAATTAAAGAACGAAGATACAAAACACTATTATTAAGTCCAGAGGTGCGTAAAATAATTTAAAGATCTCGACACAAAATGCCAACATCACAGTATGATGGGGCTGGCCTTTAATTTAGGAAATATTTATTTTAGCCTCTATTTGTTATACAAATTATTTTAATTAAAAAAAATTACTCGATAAAAATCCGTTACTTTGTTGAAAAGAGAGTCAAGGGTAGATAAAAAGAAAAGAATTCAAGTTTTAGAAATGAGAGTCCCAAATGCAGTGAGGAGGCGATACTAACAATAGATGCTGGCTTTTAAAGTTGCCAATGGTACCAAAAATTTGAGACAGTAAGTGCTCTAAAAAATGCAAGAGATTTACTTAGAAAGGGCACAAAAAAAGTGGAAAGGCTCAAGACGTATTGTATTCCTCATCTTTCAATCTTTACATGCCGAAGGTGAGACCAGTCTAATCAGGCCACAGGAGATGCACGGAACCCAAAGTGGCAAAATTACACAAAAAAGGGGCAGATTTCGAAAGTGATCACCTTTCATGTTTTGCTGGACAAGTTACCAGGCCATCTTGTCAAAATCTGCTGACTGCTTGATTGATCATTTTTTAGTGCAAAAACTTCTCCTCTTAACCCAGTGCATCAAACTTTGATTATTTATGCAACGAGGATCGTTGCAAAAACATTGTCACAGTTTTATTGACCAAAATAACATTTTTAAAACGTCTCTGCAGTCAGCAAGGCAAGCCTTTGTCATGTAGGATGAATTACATTCAAATCAGGACAAAGAAAAATGATAAATACTCACATCCCAGTTCCCAAAACCTTCATTTTTTTCCATTTCTTTTTTTATTTTGCCATTGAAATCGCAAACGTAAAACTGGACAGGGTTTGCTGCTCGCCGATTGACACAATAGCAGAAGTTTAACTGCTTGGTGCATTTACCTAAATCCTGGAAAATTGACATTTTCATAAAAAAAATGTAAATAACAGGAGTAAAACTGGAAATGTACAAAATTGGTAAGAAAGAATTAGAACTAAAATATTTTGAGTTCCATAATTAGGAAAAATTTTTACCTTCCAAATAAGAAAACAACCAAGAGGCGATAGGTATTTATATTCTGAGCAGGTATCAAGAAAATGAATGATCTCTCTAGATTGCTTTGGTAGAAAAATGCTTGGTTTGTGGTTCTCCTTCAGTGCTAAACTCAATAATGAGTGCTTGGTGGGTTGTTCATTTTGAAGATTTATCTAGGTGTCTAAATGATACTTATGACTCTGGCTATCCATCTAACCAAAATTTTCCTATTTCTGTGAACGCTTTGCCACCTGTGCATTCAATCTGATACAGACAAAGAAACTGCCAAAATACATATTGCTTTGGCTGTGTTTCAAAATCTCCAGTCTCACTTTTTTTTATCAAAGAAGAACAAACAAAGTCTGTCCCTTAAAACTTTCAAAGAACATTTTTCGTACATCGAGGAAAAATAACGATTTTCAAGATAGTACATTTAATGTTTTTATGTAGAAAATGAATTATGACATGAAGTCTGCAGCATCAAAAACCAAGATATGCATTTTTGCAGTTCCACTGTCAACAGCGTGAAAAAGTACACTGTAGTTTGAAGGATGATATTTCAACTTTCTTGAAATTCATGTAAAAACTTACCTTACAGCTCATAAGATCATCAAAAGAGCAATCAACAACGATCCTTGTTTTACAACTACTATTTGCCATTTTCTGAGACTTAAGAAATTTACGGTTGGGCTTATCATTGTCCTTATTTAGCTTCCGTTTTAGCTTTTGAATTTCTCGTTCTTTTTTTCTGTGAAACAAAAAACAAAAGAGAAAAATTACAACGACTTACATACAAAAATACAAATGAGGAGCACAAAATTGCTTGAGATGTCCAAGCTCTAAATACTTAAAATGAAACTCAATGATGAGATGATAAATGAGACATCCTAAAGATTTTGAGAACTAAGTACGGAGAAATTCTGCTGCCCTGATACCCATTCCAACAATTCCTCTAAGAGGAAAACGATATACCTGGGGCAAGAAAAATGAAAGGAGTTGGTGCTTAAAACAGCTCTTCAACGGAGTAAGTCAGCAATCACATAACTCGGTTTGCAACGTTGCAGATGTCCTGTCATACTTTATTTTTTAAACAGTAAGATTACCCAATGGCAATTCTTTGAAACTGCCGTGATTTTTCTTTCCTGTGCAAAGAAAATTCTGCAAAAACTTCAAGGAATGATGTCAATTTGCTCTCCTTTAAAAAAATAACATAGAGGCGAAGATTTTCAGACATCGCTAACTAGACATATGATTGCGGACTTACGCCGTTGTCTTGCTTCTTTCATCCTCGTGCAAGCCAAGATTGTCAAAGTATGAGCGACATTCGGATGCAGTTTGGACAATTTGTTCTTACATGTTGAAGATAATAAACTTACACAAGCCTATCCCCACATCAATTTTATATTGTTCTTGGAAACTAGTGCATCTACTCAGGCCAGCTTTTCTTGTGGAACAAAGATGAAATGATTGATGGGAGAAAAACAATGTCCGCTTAACTTTGAATTAAGTGAAGACAGGTTAAGCTTTTGTACCTTTTAACCGCTCGATTTTCCAGAAATTTTTTGTGTTTCTCTAACTTCTTCCTTTGACGTTTAGAAAGGGAGGATACGTCAGTGGTTTCAACAATACCGTCACTGGAATTATTGGTTTCCGTTGAGTTAAGACTCTCCATTCTAACAATGACAGAACAGCAAGTGTCAAAGACAGGAACTCAGTCTGAAACGGGAAAAAAGATTAACTTTAAAGAACGGTAAAGAGGCGGAGGTAACTCTTAGAACTAATGATTACAATAAATCAAGTACTTACTGATGAAATATTAAGACAAATTATTGCAGTTTTATGCACTGATCTGCATGAACGGAAGAGTTGTGAATTTGTGATATCTGTTATCACAGGGTTCCCGGATCGTGCTGAAATGTTTACATTCGAGTTTACTAGTTTCGCCGCTAGAGTGAAGCGCTAGATTGGAAATTTTTGGCGGCGATTTAAAATCCCCCGCGTAAATTCAAATTTGCGCGTGTGACATTTTGGAGCGCTTCACGTTCATTACTTGAAAATTTCTATTTTTTCCGCCTTTGGGGTGTTAGATCATATCTTAACCATCATTGGAGGTTTTAGAACATTTTTTTTTATTGTTTAGACCTCAGTAAGGCAATGGATTCATCTTTTTGAAAAAGGAAATGGAAAATCTGAACCTTACTTGATGTGGGCTAATAACCCAAAATGAGAGAAAAAAGTAAAATTTAGTCCAATGTCTATATCAAATTTCAGAATTTGGACTGGGATTGTTTTGGTGAGATGGTCGTTTTTATTCTCGACTATGACTGGTAAGTGGATGATTGGCAGTGAATCAAGAGTGGCGGTAGCCACCCCCGGTCGAGGAAAATGACGTCCTACTAAAGTCCCGATAACAAACGGGTGGCCGACACTCTTAGTCACAGGCAACTCCCTTAACTTGAAAATTGATTCGATTGCCATTCGACTGCAGCCCAAACGACGGCACGGATTCCTACGATCTTGGTGTCTACGGACGCATCTCAATTAGGACTACAAAGTGGAAGAGTTTCAATAAGATCCATTGAGTTTTCAAAAAGTTATAAGCACTTAATGACCCAAAACAAGGAAAATTTTACTTTTTACTTTGCCGGGAAATTTGAATTTCAAGAATCCAGGGTNGAGTCCCGTAGAATTTTTTTTTTTTTATATATCGAAGGAAATTTGGCAACTCTCGGATGTTCATACGGCGTTCTTCCTTAGCACGGCAGTTTAGGAATGAAATATTTTTTACTCTCATTTTGCAGGTAAGCATTGTCTCTGATCCTCAGAAAACATGTTCACCACCTGAGGTGGTCACGTGGGAATGATCGCTGAGTAGCAACGATTCTTCTTACAACTGTATTTTCCCTCCCCCCGCCATGTGAAAAACCTAATGTAAGGTATTGCTTTTTCCTTGCGGCAAATTTAATGTTCTGATTCACTATTATTTATATTCATTTTTTTAATTATAAATTTTTTTCCTAAATAAGTGATCATTTGCTTTCAAATTCCACGCATGCAAACTGACGTAAATCAACGTTTCATATTTGGTGTAGAAAATTTTAAGCATTGTAATGATAAGAATGAGCTGCAAGTAAGTAGAGAATCTATACTATAAGCTCCGAGACCTCCTAATTTTGCGTAACTGGTAACGCTTAGTTCCAGCGTTCTACCGGCCCAATTTTCATGATTTTTGCGGCTATCGACGGGCAATTGTCTCTAGATAAGCCAACTCTTAAGTAGTATGATAATTTTTCCTTTTCTATTTTTATTTTTTAATTAACGAGTGTGTATGTTAGATAAAAAATTTCAGGACATTTCCGTCAAATCACAAAGAAAATTTACAGAAACTTTTTTTTAAGAAAATTTGTTATTGCACCTCAGTAAATGAATAAATTTTAAATGAGCCTCAGCAATGTCTATGATGCAATTGAGCCCATTTGACTCTCATCCCTTCGACGATCACTGAGTCATAATATATTGATTGTTATCTTTAAAACGTTTTGTGAGGTGGTGCAATTATCTATTAAATCTAAGGACTCCAAGTCGGGTCGTATTATGCAAAAGTTTATGCCTAAACGGGGAATAATTATTTCAAGTACCCGAGTAGCGTAGCTAGACATTTGTTGAGAGAAGTGAAAAAGTCTACTTCTCTTAGACATCCCCCTCATCTTTATTACATCTTAAAAATAGGCCCGTCCGTAAAAATGAGCGAAAAAATAAAAAGTAGCCGAACGAAGAGAGAGAAAGGCAGAGGTTGACACGCTTCATCTCCTCCCTTTCGTACACATCATTGGCTGCCGTATTTAGATCGACCCACTTTCATCAGCCTTGATATCACCAGATTGAAGGACACGCATCTGCAGGATGAACGGAGTTTAAGCAGATCCCCAGCAACGGCGCCAAATGAACTCGCAACAGTTTCGGAAACCACCTAAGTCCAACGTCTTAGCCTCTGTGTTACGTTGTTTCAATACGTGTGATGGAGTCCGGGAAGACGAGCCTTAAGGTGGCGACAAATCGTTCTGAGGACTTTCGATTACACCTCTGGACAAATCAAGTACCATTTGAGGGGCTTGGAGGACAAGGCGCATAAGTGCAGTTTTCGCTATTTCGTGATATACGTGTTTGAAGTTTCGAAATTGCATGGATGCTAATGGCGGAAAGAAAGCTCAAACTTACATTTTGATGCTTAAAAATTCTAATCGGGGAGCGAATTTTTCACGGAGTCTGCATTAGGACTAGCTTTACTTGAAATAATTAATACCTCGATTTTTTCAAAAACTGCTGTTATATACGCCTTGTCCTCCAAGCCCCTCATTTTGAGAGAGGGGAAGGGAAAGGAAGGATGAGAGAAAATAAGTAAGGAGTAGATGTAGGAATATTTATTGATTTTGAAGCGGTGTCTTAGCAACAGTGGCAGCCCAGTGGGCTGGGCTGAGGCCACACCTCTGCAATGAAGTCACAAGTTTATAACCGCAAAAAGCTGATTGTTCTAGTAAATTAGGTAAAATTCCAAACAATAGACATCATAGAAATAGTAGACAATACATTTGAACCTTCATGTTCGTAAATTTAATAAAATTAAGAATAAATACTATTCGTACGTCGAAGTTTAAAAGTCACCTTGAGGGAAGGGATAAAAAAAGCTTGCATACATTCCAGCAAAACGACGGTGTAAGTCCGCAACCACGCATCTAGGTTTGCGACGTCGCATACTTCCTGTCATACCTTATTTTTTAAACGGAAAACTACTCAACGGCAACTTTTTGAAAATGCCGTGATTTTTTTACTCTGTGCGAAGAAAATTCTGCAAAAACTTCAAGGAATGATGTCATTTTGTTCTCATTTAAAAAATAGTATAGGGTGGAGATTTTCAAACAATGCAAACGAGATACGTGGTTGCGAACTTACGCCGTCGATAAAGATCTAGCTAATAAAAGACGTAAAAGATGTGCTTTCAAACCATTTTTAGTTGAGAGGTGATTTGGCAATAGGGATAAAAGAGCTCAAACAGTAAAGCGAACGGCCCGTATCAGGGTTCTCCAATGTAGGCGAGAGGGATGGATAGCTGATTCTGGGGCCCGATGACGGGTCATCAAGTAAGATCCGACACCGGACATGACAATTTAGGCACGGTTCATTGTTTCAGCTCGCGTTTAGACATTCCTCAGTTCCCAGATCTCGTCTTCCCATCGAGTGCTTTTTCACCATCTTCTCGCGCCCGTGACACTTGCGTGTTTTTACGAGACTTTTTTGAGGATGGTTCATTTTCTCCCCCGTTGTGTGTAGAAAAAAATATATATTAATACAAATATTTATTTCTAGAATGATTGAATGTGAAATTACGACGATTCTAGCTCTCTCTGACAATTTCCATCACCGAGGCTGAAAGGATAATCAAAAGTATGTATTGTTGCATTTTATGATCCTGGACAATTAACTGTGGTAAAGTTAAACAAAGTTGTCCGATACACATAGAAAATAGGATCAGGATGAATATTATGGATATCCAGTTTCCGATGCTGAACACATCACATGGGCGCAATCGAGGGGGGGGGGATGTCCAGGGGGGGGGGGGCTGCCCATCAGAATTGAAAATAGTATCATTTGTTCCCTCAGAAATTAATTATCTTTTGTCCCCCATTTTCTTCCTCATAACCCTTGAATCGCTGCCAAAGGATCAAATTTTGGACTTTGTATGGTTTTTTGCTTTAAACCAATTCTAGACCTAATCAATTAAAATACGTTAATCGGACATTTGGCATGCAAATTTAGCATAGCTGAAAACGATGAAGGCATGATTTCGATTTGTTCTCTCTAAAAAAATTAAACAAAGAGAGGAGATTTTAAAACACCGCCAATGAGATACGTGGTTTGGTAGTTTCACCGTCGCGTAGATATAAAGCGAAAAAAAAATTAAGTTATCTGAAACTGGCCCTAGAATAGAAAACCCGCAAGCTAATATCTTAAACCATAAATTCTGTTAGAGGTAAGCTCTTAAATTTTTTCTCCACAAATGCAACAGACTCGCGATTTGAAGTTTTCCTGAGAAAAAAAGAGTCTTACTATTGACAACTTATGTTTTGCGCTCGATTTTCAAAAGCCCGTCAATTTAAATTTTGCCGCGTCTACAGAATGAGAATTCCCGCCTTTCCAAGTTGCCAACTCAATACTTCCACTGTTCGATTAAATATTTTCCCGTGCGTAATTAATATGGTTGTATAATTCACGGTAGAATGAATTTCAGTCTTTTTTTGAGATGAGTCAAGTCTCTCTTCACTTTTTAGGAAATTTATAATCAACACTAAAACCATACTCAGCAACAATATAAAAACTTGTCGGTGCTTAGAATAAATATACATAAATTCCTTTCTGAGCAAGCCTGATTCACGTGCTTATGTTTACAAACAAATGCCATGTCTGGTCAAGTCGCATGTCGTGCCGCTTTCATCTAAAGTTCTTCATACTTAGTTAATTTTATTTAATTTCAAGCAATAAATTTGTGTAATTGCTACCCGAAAATTCCCACAAGAGGACGGCTATCTTCATTGCCAATCTTGAAGTCACGGTGCTGATCGTGAGACTGTTACTTACCAGCGTTGACAGCGTTCAAAATGAAGGTTAGAATGCAATTTTAATTGTGATATCATAACAGAAATTGCGAATTACTATGTATCATATTTCAAAAATACTTTAAGTCGTATTTGTTACATCCATCTCGCTTCCCGTGCGATATTTTAAGGTAAAAAAATCCGTGACAGGAAACATTTTCATACTGTCCTCCAGATGCATTGTGGTGTCGCGTTGTTTGCAACCTAGTCGCATTACTGCTCATTGGTGTTCTTATCTTACCTCTCTTAGAGCGCGCTTCACATAACTTTTCCATGTGCGTGGAATGAGGAATTCCCCCCACACAGTGAAAAGGACACAGTTATCTGAAACAAGCTCTATGTAAATATATGAACCGTGGCATGACCATTTTTGACAGTTTGATCGTTCCAGAGGAATTTTTCTGAACTATCTCAAACTTTTGTGTATTATATTATTTTTCAGAATGTGGAGAAAACTGTCCAGATTACACCACAGCAACACTTGTGCAGCTCTATGCTGTCTCTCACTGATCATTTTACTGTGCGACCTGGGTGATTGCATATTGGGTCATGGAAACGTTTTGATATTTCTGACAGCTATAACTGCATGGATAGTCGCACAGTGTCTCTATGCTCTACTTGAAGTATCTTCTTACAGGAAGATTCTCCATGGAATTTCAGCCTGTTTATGGTTTCTTTGCTCTCTAGTCAGGCTGTTCTCGCTCATCACTATTCTAAGCTCGCAAGGTTTCAGTCTCAATCGTGTAAATATGTTTGTTTGCATCACTTTGGTCATCATTTTCTCGGTGCTCAGCCTTCTAGATATTTCAGCATACATCACAGAAGTAAGTTCAAATCAGTGTTCGCTCAACCTAACAGGTTGAGGGGTAGAGTTATATGACCGGCTTGTTTCACTAATTAAGGGTTGAAACGGTAATAAGTTGTGCCTAGGGCCTCTTGGGGGAAGATACTGCCAATCAACCTCTAAAAACAGATCAAGTTTATTACTTTTCTTCGCCTTTCAACCACCTTTTTTTGTTGCATGCTCCCCTGTTCTGGGTATTTTATTCTAGCCTAATATCTGTAACAACATGTTAATGGCCAAAGAATCTTTCAAAAGTGCAAGACTTTTCTCCTAACTTTCTTTTGATAATATGACATCAAAATTGCACACAGCCTTGCACAAGGTAAATTTGTCAAATTTTTATGGGAGTAAAAATATCGCTCATGAGTCAAAAGAGCTTGTATAATATTATCTTTTTATTGTAGGCTGAATTTCCTTCCAAAAAGAGTAATCCTGATGAGCATATAAGCTATCGGTACAATTTCGCAAATTGGTGGTCAAAACTCTCCTTTTATTGGTTAATGCCATTGCTAATCAAAGGATTCAAGGAGCCTCTTGAACTCGAAGACCTTGGTCAGTTACCCGAAGAAGAGCGTATTCAGTATCAGTTCAAACGATTCACGAATGTGTATTACTCCCTAAAGGTAAGTTTAATTTATTGGTTTTTACTAATTCTTATTAATTGGCCCATCTTAGAGTTTTTTACAGTTGGCTATTGGCAAGATGCATAGGAGTCGATTTTCCTCAAGGCCAGTCTTGTAGCCCAAAAACCTTGTTATGTGTTCTGTGCCAAAAACTGTCTTCTTGTTCTTCCTTCTTAATGGACAACAACAAATCAATATGCCTTAATCAGACTCCAACATCATTTCTCTTCATCAAAGAGGAGGCTTTCAAGTTGAGTGATGTATTTTTGTTCCAATTTCAGCAACTTGTCCACAATCTCATATACTTACTCTCCCACTCTACTCAGGTTGTTAATCTGACACTTCTGACAGGCTATATTTTTTTCAGAGTACGTACACCACTCACAAATTTTTGCTGTGGAAGTGCTTTGTCAAGTTATATTCTCGCTCCTTTGTGTATGGTGGTATCCTGAAACTAGTTGGAGATGCTGCTGGTTTAATTGGACCTCTTGGTATGGCAGGAATACTGAAATACATCGAGGATATTGGAAAATCAAGTCAAATACCATCTGAAAAAGCGAACATAAAACAACAAGTAGGTAACATATCTATATAAGTTTGATCTCTACACATTCAAATTGTTTTTTAACTTTCATAGCATCACAGTGAAAATAGGATTGTAAAAATTTTGAATCAGGTTTTTTTGTGTAAAAAAAAGGAAAGGCATTCAAATCAAATTTTACTCTGAAGAAATCAGTTGTATTCAAGGTCATAAAAAAAAAAAAAACTTGACTTTTTACTATTTTGTTCAATTAAAAAAACTTGATCATTTGATAGATAAAAAGTTTATGTGTTTATGTCTTAAAAGATGCCATTTGATTACTACCCTTGTTTACACCTTTACCTTTAATTACCTAGTTCAGACTGGTAATTAAAACTTTTAAACTAATTCAGTAGTACACGTACAGTACTCTCTGTATATGTTTAACAATTCCACCACAAACGGAACGATTTTTCGTCATTTAGAAATTTTCATTATATCGAGCAGCAAAACAATGCTCAGTGAACGTGGGAAGTTCAAGGGATTGGATGGTTCTTTCAATATAGAAATTTTTTGTTTGTTTAGCTGAGTGTTGTTATAGAGATGGACTACTGTAATTATTTTCTTCTAGTGTTTAATTGTTGGTATAATATGAGGATTGACATTTTTTTTTCTTTCAGGTGATGTCTTTAACCTTCTCGGAATTTTTAAGAAATGGTTACGTCATGGCCATCATTGTGTTGCTCAGTGCCATCGCTCAGGGTAGCCTTTCACAGGCTAGTACTCATATTCTGAACACTGAAGGAATTCATCTTAAAAATTCTTTACAGGTAATTGCCTGATAATCTTTTCTTGATTATGAAGAACTCCAATTTCTTGGACCTTTAATCTGGAAATTTTATGCGGATTTTAAAATTTTATACGGAAATGCTATGGATTTCTTTCTCCTTTTTTTCTGAAAATTAGTGATAATTAGGGAATTTTATCCATTTTACTTTAATGAAAATCATGGAATTATCAAAGAATCTTTTTTTGAAGTGTTCAACAGATATCCTGAATCATAATGCTGATCATGTGCTGAAGATATCCTGTTGTAATTTTATAATTTTAATTAAAATTATAATCTTATTTACGTTAATCATCTTTTTTATTAATTTTCAGGCATTTATTTATTACAAAATATTGAGATCCAGGAAGATTGCCGATAATGACTCAGACTTTGAGAAAAATCAAGGAAATATAACTAATCTGGTATCTGAGGATTGTTACAATATTATGTCTTGCTACTGGATTGGAAATTATGTCTGGGCAATCCCTGTTAAGGTAAAAAATAACATACATTCAGCCAATATTCTCTCTTTCATTGTTAATTCTAGTGACAACTAATATGGGTTTTCTACATAATGCAAAACCAATCTTGGCCAAAAAAATTGTTAGGAGCACATAAAGCCAAAACTTTTTGGACTGTATTATACAAAATAATATGAATTAATTTTTTTAAGATGATGTCTACTCAGAAATAAGAGATGTTTCACAACATTTTCATATCTGCCTGTTTGGACCATAAAGCACTATGCTGTATATTCTTTGACATTCTTTGTCATGAATAAAACAAGGCTAGAAAATCAGGAAAATGGTTCCTCCTGAAAATAGCTGGAAGTGCAGTATATCATTTCGTCTAAAAAGTAGCATTTTAATGTCTTTTCATTGTGGGCCAAAAAGACAAATTATAAAACTCATTGTTGCCGATGCTAATGACTTAACCTAGGAAAGTGATGTCACTTGCCCGGTGTGCCAAAACGGTTCACAGAGTAAGGCAGCGTCATTAAAGGATGTAAGGAGTCAGTATTATCAGCAAAGCTGGTTCAGACCAGTATCAAATCTGTCATGCAGTGCATGACTTAAGCGCTCTAAGTGTCTGCGCTGGATACATTTGTCACACTGCGATCCTGCTTGTTGCATGATGCTGGCAAGAACCTCAGTTCCTCAGGTCTGGTTATAGGAGTTCCTTGAGAATAGGAGTACCCTAAGAATAAAAATGGTTTTTTAAATGATCTTCCATCCCTCAAATCATTCTATTCTTTGCAGATTTTTGTCTTGATTACTCTCCTGTACTATGAAATTGGCTTCAGTGCTATCATCGGAGCATTATGCTGTATCCTCATTGTAATTCCTCTTCAGTTCCTGATTGGTAGAAATATGTCAAGCAACTCCAAATTGATCATGGTAAATCGTCTTTATTCTTTCTTACTTTTTTTTTTGTATTGTAGATGGAACCGTTCTAAATTGTACCTTTTGAAACGTTAAAAAGTTAGAAGAAAGTTATGGATTCTTTCAGCCTTTTAATTAGCTGTGGTAATTTAATCTTTAGAAATCATATTTGATGTGATTTGAACTACATTTTGCAATTAGAAATTATAAATTCTAGCTCAGTGTAAAAACAACTGATGTACCATTAATTTCCGTATGCACATACATGTTTTTATGGATGAGCCAGAAATCGTAGTTTCTAATTGCAAAATTTAGTCAATTGGTTCTTGTGCTAGTTAGAAGGATCATGGATCGCCCACAATGGACATCTTTACTCTAAACGTTCAATTCTGCAACAATTTTACAAAGATTCTAATTGACCATCATTAATGCATCACTATTTGAAGTTAATTTCTAAAAGTATTTGATAAAAAGACTAAATGCACCTAAAAAAAGTGCTGTAGATTAACATTTCTCTGTTTTTTCTTTTAAAAGAGTATATGTTAGAATCATATGCCTTATTTTTATTTTAACAGGAAGCAAGTGACAAGAGAATGAAAGAAATCAATGAATCATTGCAGGGAATAAAGTTGTTGAAGCTCCGTGGCTGGGAGGACAAGTTTTATGAGAAGATTTCAATAAGCAGAGATGCAGAACTCAACTACTTAAATAAAGACTCTTTGTATTGGGCATTAATGAGTATGTTCTTGTCTCAATTTTTTGTTATAAAATATACCAGTATGGTTTAATATTCCATTTTGAAGGATCAGCACTCATCACAGGCTGACTGTTGCTCTAATGACTTCAAGATTACACTGTAAAAGGCTTGTAAAGTGTTTTATCGGAAACTTAAAGCAGAAGTAAATTTACTCTCCTTTACGTAGAAGAGGAATGAATTTTAAGAGTTGAAAGAATGGAAGGAATGTTGTTCTAACTAGGTAAACTAACACTACAGGGTGATCCAGACCACCCGTCCACCATATTTTTCTCGAAAACGGCGGAGAATTGAGCTTCAGGACCAAAACTTTCATAGGGTAAATCGACCCCAAAGAATCGAATGAAAATATTTTCAGCCCCCCAAAATGGCCCCTTGGGGGGGTTTTGGGGGGGAGCCCCCCCGTTTCTCGCAATTTTCAAATGGAAAGGGTATGTTTTGACTTCGGATTCGGAATCTACGGTAAAAAATAAGAACATTTTGTTCTTTGCACTTTTTCCCTATACCCCAATTTTTTGGAGTTATGGGGCATTTTTGGGGCAATTTTCAATTCGACGCTGTAAGCGGCCAAATCATCCAAATTTCAAAATCTAAAAATCTTCTGAGAGGAGAGGTCAATACCTTTTTATTGATGTGCCACATGACCCCTGTTGCTCCAAAATTTTGGGGGGCACGACCCCCCAAAAATTTTGGGGCTTTGGAGGGCCATGAGTCGAAAATGTCGAAAGGCAAGGGTATGTTTTGACTTCAGATTTGGATTCTACGCGAAAAGTTACGCAGAATTGATATGGCGCATGGCCTGTTTGCTCCAAATTACTGAAGAACCCCATTTCCCCATAAGAAGCCGTGTATTTTTGGACAAAATAAGGGGTAAAAAAAAATTTGAGCAAACAGGCCATGCGCCATATCAATTCTACGTAACTTTTCGCGTAGAATCCAAATCTGAAGTCAAAACATACCCTTGCCTTTCGACATTTTCGACTCATGGCCCTCCAAAGCCCCAAAATTTTTGGGGGGTCGTGCCCCCCAAAATTTTGGAGCAACAGGGGTCATGTGGCACATCAATAAAAAGGTATTGACCTCTCCTCTCAGAAGATTTTTAGATTTTGAAATTTGGATGATTTGGCCGCTTACAGCGTCGAATTGAAAATTGCCCCAAAAATGCCCCATAACTCCAAAAAATTGGGGTATAGGGAAAAAGTGCAAAGAACAAAATGTTCTTATTTTTTACCGTAGATTCCGAATCCGAAGTCAAAACATACCCTTCCCATTTGAAAATTGCGAGAAACGGGGGGGCTCCCCCCCAAAACCCCCCCCAAGGGGCCATTTTGGGGGGCTGAAAATATTTTCATTCGATTCTTTGGGGTCGATTTACCCTATGAAAGTTTTGGTCCCGAAGCTCAATTCTCCGCCGTTTTCGAGAAAAATATGGTGGACGGGTGGTCTGGATCACCCTGTATAAGTTCAAGTTTGGATACCTCTTTATTTCTTTTGATTTCCGCAAGTCACTCATGAATTTTTCGGATAATGAAGGCTGAAGTACTATTGGGGATGCCCTACTGGTTTTCGGTATGCTATAGAAACAGTTCTGTTAAGAAGTAGTAATGATAAGGAGACTCTTACAGATATAATAAAAGTTTTGTGAGCTGATAAAAATTTGCTGTTGCCTTGTTTATTAGCTTTAGGAACCAATCAACCCAACAGAGAGGTATGCCAGGCAACCACCCTTTCACTCGAGGCTCACACAGTTTTGTTAGAGCTGGCCATTTCCGATAGCAGTATCCTTATCAAATTAAATCTGCACTTCAAAACGAACTGTCATTGATAATTTACCGCCAAAGATTTGTCAAAACACCCCTAGGTGCTATCCTTTTAAATTTCACTTTTAAACTTCACCACAGTTTGATAAAGCTGTGTTACTTAGAGCATATTTATTCGCCGTGAGCGTTAGTGGTACTATTAATTTATTTCCTCTCGCTTTTTTTTCAGCTTTTCTCACTCATGCATCATCAGTCCTCATAGCCCTTCTAACTTTTGGAATATACTCATTGATTGAAACAGTCCCGCTCATGCCAAGCAATGTCTTTGCTGGCCTTGCACTATTTAATCAGCTAACAGTTCCCCTGTTCATTTTTCCCATCACTGTTCCCATCATCATCAATGCCATCGTAAGTATTTACTTTTTTGTTGCTCACCGTTTTTACTTTTCCAACATTCCTCTAACTCTCTTAAAATTCAGTAATTAATTAATGAAATGTGTGCATTGATCAGTAATGTATTTTTAAACTTGAATCCTCCAAACTTGTATTAATGTACCTCTTGCATTTCTCCAGAATTATTGCTTATTGGACACTATCACGATTATTTTTATTGTATGGCCTTGTTGAAGTTACCTCATATTTCTTTGATACTAGTCCAACTGTTTTTTTTTTATAGAATAGTGTTCGAAGGATAGAAGAATTTTTATCTTTACCAGAAGTCATTTCTTCGCATAAAAAGAGAGGTGATGGAGTAAATGATGTTTTCGAAACCCTGGATGCCATGAATTTTAGCCAAACAAAGGTATGCTTTTTAAATCTTATTTCCTTTTTATATGTTTTTGACTATTAAACATAAGTCAAAAATTTTAAACATTATTGCAACTATGATGTTGTATGCTCCAATGAGTTCCAGAACTGAAACCACCTCTGTCGCCAGAACATTCTTCATGAATTTTAAAAGCTGATAATAGTCAGAAGAAAATGAGTTTTTTTCGCAGTGTTACTTTATCCATTCCCAATCAAATTATAAATTGTGTGCGTCATTTTTGGTTTAACGCGTAAAAGTGTGGCACATCATAGAAAATTTTTAGTAATTATTCAAGTGTGCTTTATCATGCTTGTACATTATTTTGTTTTTGCAAGTATTGATGAGAAGGCAACTTTTTTCTTCATTACCTCCCTAAAGTCTACTTCTTGAAATTGGTTAGACAGAAGAACCTCTCATATTACTATGTCAGTTTCAATCTTCTGCATTTGTCGAACAGACAGAAAATGCAAAATAGTGATCCAACTTAAATTTTGGTTCACACTAAGTGGGTATTTTACTTAATGCAAAAAAGCATGAAAATGCATTGATGGCAACCAATTGAACGAAACCAAAACCAATTTGACTGTCTTTAATTTTTGTAATTTCTAACCCCCAACTTCCTGAAGTAGTATGAACCCATTGCTATCGTCTTTTAGTATATGATTGTTGTCCATTTAATGTATTTAACATCAAGTTGAATGCATCAAACAAATAATATTTTCCTCTTAATTAAAAGTTTTTGGAACTCGATTTTTAATTACGTTCAAAGGATTTCTCAGTTTTATATCGATAATTTTCAAAAATTTGGTAAAAAAAGGTACTCATCACAATTCATATTTTTTAAGTTGTGTGCTTTTTTCAGGTCATCATCAATGGAGAAAGCACTGAAATTTTAGCCAATATTTTAGAAATCAATGAAGATGGTGATGATGATTTCCTCACAAGAGTAAGGAGTGGAAATTCATTGTCAAACAGTGACCGCACACATGTCAATAGTGCAATGGACTTGGAAACTTTGAAACACCCCTATTTGAAGCAGATACCATATCTACAAAATATTAGAGAGTCCAATGAAAGTATCGATAAAATCAGTAATTCGTCCCTAAGTGAATCGACCACATCACTCCATTCACATGAAATTCCTCACAAAACTCACGAAATCCAAAATACTGAGAATCAAGCCAAGATGCGGACAACATCTACAGAAGTACAAAAAGATACGAGTGTGATTTTTGTTCAAAATGCAGAGTTTTCATGGGGAGATTCAAGCAAAGCTACTCTTTATGTCAAGGATCTTGTCATTCCAAAAGGTGATTGCACTGTGATTATTTCTAGTTAATGTCAAAAATTACTATTGAACCAGACACTTGAAAAAAACACGCTGAATGGAAAGAAAAGTACTTTAATCATAAAATTATAAAGTGAAGTATTTTGATGTAAATTTTACATAGCGTAGTTTTCAAAAAATAAAATAACATCATTCAATTAATCCTTTATTTTTTACCATATCTACTATTCTACCTCTCGAGTGAGGTCTACCTATTGATTTTACCCATTTTTTTCCATCAAATTCTACATTAAATGAATTTGATGCCCAATTGTTGCATCTACAAACACAATTATTTCCCCATCTATGTTTAAGCATCTTTGATGCTTTTATTTGCTTGAATGAAATTGCATTTGTCAAACCATTACACACTATTGTATCATTTTTAATAGGCCAATTAACAGTCATACTTGGAAACATAGGGAGTGGCAAAACATCCCTTCTGGCAGCCCTGTTGGGTGAAATGGAATGTACCTCAGGTTGTATTCAATGGCAGGCGTAAGTTAATAAATGTATAAATTATTTTATTGCGTAGATAATACGAAAACATGGGGTAGAGCTCATGGTTCTTACTCACACAGTAAGCTCATATCTTCATTGCACTAATCTCTTCCTAGGTTTTTAGCTTTCCAAGATCATCATTTTGAAATAGTTGAGCTTTAATATGCACCAATACATGAGTTGTATCCAACCTCTGTAAAAAATCCAAGGAAAAATTCTTAAAATACATGCAAGTCGTCATGACCACAAACATTCCCAGTATGCTTTCCTCCTGTCTGTGCCTCCTGCCATCCAAGAACTTTTTGCAGATGTTCCATTCTACAGTCAGGCTTCACACTTATACAAAAGACAATATTTTATAAGAGGCTACTCGTGTTTTTTAACCGGTTGTGATGAATTTTCCTTTTAAGGGGGTTGTCTGTCGCCTATGTATCTCAAAAACCATGGCTTCTCAATGCTACTCTGCGGGACAATATTTTGTTTGGTCGACGATACCGCCATCACCGTTTCCAGAAAGTCATTGCCTCATGCGCACTCCAACCAGATATTGAAAATATGCCTGCTAAAGACTTAACTTTACTTGGAGAAAATGGAGTTTCTCTCTCAGGAGGACAGCAGCAACGTATTGCAATTGCTAGAGCAATTTATTCAAGAGCTCAAGTCATCATCATGGTAAAAATAATTTTCTTTAATTTGTTTTAAATGTGATTATCAAAATTAATACCGATTGTTTTAGTCTCATTGAACAAATTTTTTGAGACTAAAATTCACCTGTTTCCCTTTAAATATAAGATACCCAGTATAAAACATCTTGAACTTTCAGGATTATTTGGTTTCATTATTTATGCAATCATCACTCTTGATAAAAATGTAAGTCTTGGCACCTACCAACTTGCTGCGTGTATTTTTGTTCTTCATATTCATTTTTTATCTAAAATTTCATGTTTTCTCACTAATTTTGTGTTATCCTGTGCTGTAAAATAGGATCTGTTGCCAAGGCTCAGATTTATGTCAAATTTTTGAGTGCTTTTTGAGATAACAAGTGTTTTCTTGAAGAAGTCTGTTTAGCGATCAACGATAGAAACAAATTATTATTTTGATTCCAGGATGATCCCTTGTCTGCTCTGGACCATAAAATGGCAAAATATATTTTTGAAAGGAGCATCAAGAAACTCTCAATTCACCATAACAGAACTGTAATTCTGGTCACCCACTCTCTCCATCTTTTACCCACCATTTATCACGTAACGTTTGATTTCTGTAAGCATGCCAAATGCCAACCATTGAAAAATTTTTTCTTGATTCTGTTAATTCACTTTGTTTTAAAACATTAAAAAAAGTAACAAATTATATGATATGTACATGCAATTACTGCTTTTACAGTAGAGATTTTAAGAGACCTTAAAAATGAATATTTATTTTAATGCATTCAAATTTTCTCTCTATCAAACTTTTTATCTAATGAACTTGCAGTGATACAAGTGGTGAAAGTCAAAATTTATTCCAGCTTTTTTGAGTGCTGGAAGTCAAAAATTTACTAACATTTCAGGAAAAAAGTGGAAACACTGAAGAATGTATAAAATCTTATTTTGCAATGTTAAAGTTCTCTCTCTCCGGCAGCTTGACCTAAATAGAATTTTTACCATCTCATAATTTAACTCTATTGCCATATTATTAGGGGATTACGAATTAAAAGCAGAAATTTCTGTTGCCTTCTAGTCAAAGTGACTAAAATGTTTAGGTGCATCAATCAGAGTGACCAAAAAATGTAGTTGCATCAGTTGGAATATTTAATTTTTTTAGTTGCCTCAGTCAAAGAGGCTTTCAATCAGGTGAGCCATGCTCGATTGAAAGAATTAGCTACTGCAGTCCCTTGTAGTTGCATACAGTTCCTAGCAACCACAAGCAACGAAGGTGACTTAATTAAGTTACAGCCCCTGAAATGCTTCACCCAGATTTGAGCAAAAGTATGGCATTGTGCCCCAATCATTGAAAAATGTAATTAAATAAAATGTATATTCTCATTTTCCCTGAAAATTTAATGCCGAAGATGTTCCAAATGCTGCAACTAAACCATGTCAACTGAAAGAAGATTTAATTGCAGCTGAAACAGTCGCTTCAACTAAAGATGCCAGTTTTACAACTTCAGAGGAACTTATTAAAAATCTAGTCTTCCGCGTATTCCAATTATGGCCTTTCATCAGTCGTCTTTCTAATCAGGGTCTTATTGTGTTTTTATTTTTTCAGTATATAATAATGGAGGATAACCGAGTAGCCATATGTGGGAAGAAAAGTGATGTACACAACTTCAAAAATCAAGTCATTAACTCGGAAGCTCTGCTGAACAAAGGTTCTCGGAAACGCACAGCTACAGAAAGATGGCATTTGTTAAAATTAATCTCTAAACTCAGTTTCCACCAGAGGCAGACAATCAGCATTAGCAATATTTGTCAGAGCTCAAGTAGCATGGTAATGAAAGTTTGACATAACTTGAAGACTTAGCATGTTTGAAAAGAATTAATGGAAAATTAATGAAAAACCAAGTATTTACCCACTGATCTCATCTTCTTCAGCAAAACCATTGTAATGATCCTTTTCAATTTTCCAATCGTTAATTTGTTTTTCGAAAAACTTTCTTTGTATTTATTTTTATTTTACGTAAGTATCATCATTAATATTTAGATCATTAGATAATGATAATCATAAAAATTAAAAAAAAAAAACTAATTTATACCATTCCTTTTTAATTTTTATCAATTTTCTTAAATCGTTTTTAATGAACCAAAATTTTAGAGAATTTTGAATCAAATTCGAGGTGAACTGGCCGATAGACTATTTTGCCCCAAATTGTTCCGTAATTTAAGGTGACTTCTTAAATGTTAAAAATTTTAACAGAAAAAAGTACCATATTTTGCCCCGTATCCTGCCAAAATGCGGCAAAACAATTTTTTTTTTTGGGGGGGGGGGGGAAATAATTAAAATGAGCAAAACAACATCACATTTTTTCATTTCAGAGCTCTCGGCAGTTTGTCCCTTTTCGGAAACGTCTCGGAACTTTCTCTGGGTCAAGATATTTTGCTCATGATCTCCTACTGCCTACAGACGAATGTAATGAAGATGACAAAACAGAATGGATGGATTTTAAAAAATGGAGAGATTCAATCATGAGCAGTAATCATCACAAAGTTATATCAAGATGCACTTCTCTTCAGGCAGATCAGTTCAATCAATGCTCATTAGTTTTAAGACAGTCCTCCTCTTCAAATATTCAACCGATTGCCCTACGGTATGTTTGCTCAACCATCTTTCAATTAATTTTATCCTTTGTTTTAATTTTTGCAGTATGCTTTTGTAATGACTATTTTTCATAGTGTAAATCTGTAAGTGGAAACTGATTGCTAAAGAGTTTGATCATATTTTTCAATGTTCACCCCATGTATCAAAAGAAAAAATTCTACTCTCAGTTTCATCCTTTCTCATTGGTATGAACCTTTTTGTTAGAATCAAAGGTGAAAACGAATATAAAATTTTCTGTGCCCTCTCAAATTTTTTTAAGGTGATTCGATGGAGGCCATTTTTTGTGTCAAAGCGATGTGCGACATATCGCATCGATTTGTTCCATAATTTCAGCTACTTGTCATTTTTTTCGAATTTTGAGATCACACTTCTGTTGTCATGAGACTTAAGAACGCATGTACCAAATTTGACAAAGAAATCCAACGTAATAAAGTCGTGGTTTTTTTAGAGGGAAAATATCGCATCCGAGTGCAGTTTCGATATCAGTATCGAATGCGATATTTTTCCTCCAAAAAAACCGCGCTTTTATTACGTTGAATTTCTTTGTTAAAATTACTAAGTGAGTGCTTTAGTCTCCTGACAACAGAACTGCGATCTCAAAATTGGAGAAAAAAAACGAGTAGCTGAAATAATGGAACCAATTGATGCGATGTATCGCATGCCATTCTGACACAAAATATGGCGTCCACCGAATCACCTTAAGGTCAACTTTCGCAGTCTTACAGCTACTCAAGATTGTTTTCTGGTTCTTACCAAAGTACTTTGATGAATTTTACCAACGAGGTGTCACTAACAAGCTTTACGGTGTTAAACAGCCCTATTATTTGATATTATGTGTGGAATATTCTGAGTAGACAGCTTTACAATCTTATCTACCCATTAGAATTGGCATGACATGAGTAGGAACACTTTCTTCTTATCTCTTTGTCGACATGGCATAAAGATAAATTTAACAACATCGTAAATTATCTGCCGTTCACATTTTCCCTTTCATTTTATGTAACCAAAGAAAGATTATAATTTTTGTAAAAAAAATTCCCAAAAAAATGAGAAACTGAACTAATACTTGGCATGCCTAGCTAAGCGAGCACCTCTAATATTTTTAAACCTGCAGAGCATTTCCATCCTGATGTAACTTAAGAGAATATTGTTTTTTGTGATCGTAGTGAACTTTTATTTTTTCAGACCGAGAGTAAATACCTATGGTTCATCATTTGGTCATGGCAGTTTACGCCGAAAAATTCTGAGAAAACATTTTGCATTCAACCAATCAAAAGGGTAATTATTTTTTTTATTTATTGAGAGATGAGTCCTCCAGTAACTTTTGTTAGACTCCTATTTTTCTCACAACTTTCAGGTCTCATCGTTTTGCATTCAAATTTTCAGTGATTAAGTTGAGACCTCAAACACCCTCATCCATCCAAGCACACCAGAAGCCTCTCAGAGCTGTATGCATGGAAATTATTAATAATTAAAATGCCAGTAATGACTTCAGCACCCCAGAGTCGAAAAGTACCGAACTCACGATATTGGAAAAATTGAGTTAGCGTGTGAGTTGCTGCATCCATACCTCAAGATGCAAAACAGATTGCATGCTTAAGAGCACCATGAAATTTAAAATGTAGGAGAGAGGAGAATGGTTCTGAAAATCCTCTTTTTCAGAGTTCCACTGAAGCAAATTGTATTGCCTTATATAGCTAAGAGTAGTGCCTGTATGATCCGTTTCACAGATTGTCTGCACTATCGTATTTTAGGAGATATGGAGTAGGTAAATTTACCTTCCTTGAAATGCCACTTTTTTGGCCAATTCATGTTTTTAAGAATATCATATCTCATTTCAGGCTGGGAAAAACAGCATTTGGAGAAAATAATAACCACTCGTTGCTGCAAAGAGCTCCATCTGCTGCCTCAGAATGGAGTGAAGATTTTAGTGAGGAGGATGATACCAATAACTTTCATGGTAATCGCGTAATAATTATGTGCATCTATGTTGCTGCTTTGCTGTGTACTAATGCTAGTTATTTGTGCCAGTGAACGTTCATTTTCATACACTATATAGTAGAGTCTGTGGCAAATCTCTGTTAGAGGCAATTGTGTCGCTGCTGCTGCTGGCTCATAATAGTGGAGCCATTTTCATTAGGCCTAAATCCTTTGCTTCTTCCCTCCTAAATTTCAGTTTTTTCTTCCTTTCTTATCATCCATGAGGCTTTTCTTTCAGCTTTCTTTGCACTTTATTCTTCAATATCCTTCAATAGTCTTTTCCTTCTTGACCTGTCTGCAGTCTCTATTAAGCGCTAGATGATTCAGAGAGTGATGGAAATGCTCAAAAAAACTTGATCAAATTTTTTACTTTTTTTTGACAATAAATTTTGACAATACTCAGTGGGGAAAGTCTTTTTGCACTTTATTTTCTACATGATATATTTTCCTTTTTTCTTTGTTCGGTCCTCATTCTCTGGAAATTTTTGTTTTATTTTTCAGATGATAGTTCTTCTTGGAATAAAACTCCAACTTCCGATTCAAGGAGCTATGGAGAAATATCTCATGAAATCTATTGGACTTACGTAAAGGCTTGTGGATTGTCCATAAGCGTTCTATTTCTTATAATCACAGTGATTTGGCAGGCTCTAAAGGTTTACACTGACTTTTGGCTAAGTTACTATTCAGAGGATAATTCTGAGCAGGTACCAGTCAAATACATTCAAGTATTTTATTTTACCTTTATTTTTATGTCTTTTCCCTAAGTTCTCTGCAAAACAGAGCTCTCATAGGAATTTTGTAAAAAAAATTATTTTCATTACATTATCATCGAGTAATTTATTTTCTCTGGTGACTCCTCTTTCAGAAAAATTTGTTTCGTTGCTTGTTGAGGTACTTGGCTCTGCTCCAGTCTCTTCATCCTAATTTTCCGACATAAATATCTTAACTTAACTGTTTGTTCTATTTGCTAAAAAAAAAAAAAAAAAAAAAAAAAAAAAAAAAAAAAAAAAATACTTTGCACAATGAGCGAAGACCATTGAGCCAGTTTATGTGTTATTCACAATGATTTTTATTCAGAAAGTCATACCGGATTAAGGGATACTGACACTTCAACAGTGACATTGAGTCTCTAGTTCACATATTTTCTTGGAAACGCAGGGCTAAAAATTGAAGGTTCAAGAAAGAATCACAGTTTGATATGCTAGGGGACCAAGCCAAAACTTATCGAAAGAGAGGGAACACATCTGTCGTTGACCTCCAAAAAATAACTGTAAACAGTACCTACGCAGGTATTTTGCCAAGAATTGTAACTTCTACACAAAAATCCAACTTAAAGTTTCTCCTTCCAACTTCCAGTATATTCATTTAATCATTTACTCTATTATTTCTAAGAAAAGTTATTTTTTCTTTTCCTTACAGAATGTCTCAATTAATTTGAACTGATTTCCAGGCATGGAGCTATCTCTCAGCGTACGCCTTTCACTCCATAGGATGTGTTGTATTGTCTTTCGCCTCCATCGGATTAGGACAATACGGCGGAGCTGTGGCCAGAAAAAAATTGCACAATGAACTTTTATTCAATCTTCTTCACTGTCATGTTTACTTTTTTGAAGTTACACCATTAGGCAGAATCATAAGTCGATTCTCCAATGACATCGTCATCTTAGACAAAGTGAGTTTGTTAAGATAATTTAAGTTCTTCTTCAATTCTAGTTCTAAATATTTACAGTGTATTTTCATTTACATACATACAAGTCGCTTTACAGCACTCCCTCGCGTTCTACGACCCCTAACCTCCACTGCTCTCTTTCAAACCACAAATCTTGGGGGATTGCGCACCTTAACATTTCCGCTTCAATCCCTTCCCTCCAACCTTTCATTGGGCGCCCTCTGTGTCTTCTCCCAGGAGGAACCCAGTCAAGGACCTTCTTCGGCAACCTGTCTCCTGCCATTCTCTGGACATTACCATACCAAATGAGTTGTTTTGTCATAATGTCATGCACGATGGTCTGCTTGGCATCCATGATCTCCCGTATCGTCTCATTCCTGACGCGATCCTTTCTGGAACCATTTTCATTTAGCCATTCCAAAACGTTAGTTTCTGTATCTTTTCTTCTCTGCTTCTGTGGTAAAGATAGTAATTTTCCGTCATTTTGCGGTGCCTTTGTTGATTTCAAAGTAAACAAGCAAAGGAAACAGCGCCATCTTCATTACACTTATACAAAAGTTTTTAGGCAAAAAATTGTTGATTCCTTACCAAAAATTCTACAAGTTTAATGAAAATTTGCAGATCATTGTGCAAAGTGCCCTAGTTCTGCCAACAGCAAATTAAAACTCAACTTTCTAGATAAAAACTTGACTAAGCGTGAACAAAGCTTACAGTTTCCGAAACAGCAAGTTTGAAAGTTTCTGGATGACGCATGTGACTCATTACCTCAAATGTTAGTAATAATTCCGACTTAAACTTAATGCGAGCCTAGATTTTAATTTTGTATATTTTTAATAATTTGAAATCTTTAAATTTCAGAAATTAGCAACATCAGTTCAACGCCTTCTCCAATTTCTTCTTCTATGTTTCTCTGCCATTGTTGTGAATTGCATAGTCTCTCCATGGTTTTTGGTAGTTGCAGTGCCTATTTGTATGGTTTATCATTTTATTCAAAAATTTTATCGCCGATCCTCCAGGTAAGTTTTTTATTTAATTTCTTTTCACATCAGATTTAAGCTGAATTTTGTAATTTTTTTTCTTGTTGAGTTACTACCTAAGGATCGAAATAAACCGCTTTGAATTTCTGAATTTTTTTGATTTTCAAAATTTTAGAAACTTTCTTTGAAGTTGATTGCATAGCTTCAGTTCACTATTAAATGAAATTAAAGTTTTTATAATCAGTATATTATTTATCAGTATTTTATTTATTGGTGTCCTAAATGCAGCATTAAGGAGTCAAGTTGAAGATGATTAATTTATGATTTCTTCACATTACCATCGATGATAAGTTTATGCTGACTATTGTAATGATAATCAAATTTTTATCTGCTTTTATTATGTATAAGGCTTTCCGTTAATACATCAATATTATTACGATCATCAATTTTCATTTGTTGTCTGTTCCTCCAGAGAATTACAAAGGTTGGAGAGCATAACAAGATCGCCAATTATATCTCATCTTGTCGAGACAGTTCGTGGTGTGGATACAATTCGAGCTTATGGCCAAGAGAACTATTTCATAGCAGCTTTTTTTCATAAACTGAATATATACACCAATGCTTTTATCATTCATAACGCAGCAAATCGTTGGCTGGGTCTAGTACTCGTAAGATCTTCAATGTAAACTTTTCAAGTTATCTAACTCTTTTTTTTTATAAATTAACTCCTCTAAATGAAAAAAGAACAAAACCTATGGTTGGACTAAATTTTGAAACAAAGAACCACTATTTCTGGCTCTCTGTAGGGACATCATACATACTATTAGTTTCTTTATGCAGGTAGTCACATTTATGGATGAGCCAGAAATGGTAGTTCCCTATCTCAAAATGTGGCTTATTCAATGAATATTGGTCTTTTGTGCCATTAAGCCTGATCACTTTAAAAAAATAAGGACTCTTATGGCAACATGAAATTTTCCTGATCCAGTGATCCAACAACTTTCTTTGTAGGATGAAAAATCTTTGTGAAAGAAAGGGATATTTTTCATCTCAAGATAACTCATATTAATGGTGAAACTGTGAGGTGACGGATGTTAGTTTCCAACGTTTCAAATTCCTTGTAATATATCAATTACTGATACTGAATTAATACCTACAGAATGGCTTTTAAAAGATCTTGAAAAATGCAAGATTGTAAACTGATATTATATATTGAATAAAATAAAAAATTAATTAAAATTTAACTATTACTAAACTGAAATAACCAATAACATGAACTAAAAAGTAGTTCTCCCTTTTGAGAATGATTAATGATCTTTATTGCACTTACCTTTGTGTGATTCTTCTTTTCCTTTTCGATAAAATTCCCTCAAAATCTCATACATAAATGACCGGTAACACTCTCTTGAAAGATGAAGGAGAGGCATAAATTTTGAAACACTGCTTTACGTTTTTAAATTTTTTCATTGTCGTTGTCGATAAAACAAATTACTCTTTCTCTTTCTGTTGAAGTTTTAACTGACATGTATTTGATGATTTCAGGATTATTTGGGAGCCGTTATTGTCTTCACTGCAATGATTATGTCCTTAATATCTGCATCCTTCTTTCCAAAAATCGTGTCATCATCCTTAGTTGGCTTGGCTATCAACTACACTCTTCTAGCTCCTATTTATTTGAACTGGGTCGTCAAGTTTTTAGCAGACATGGAAATGAACATGGCAGCAATTGAGAGAATTTTAGAATTTGCATCTGAACAGCCGGAGAATTATAAGTCAAAGAAAGGTAATAAAGCTCAAGGTTTTTTAGATACTGAATAAAATCTGTAGGTACTTATACTTTATTTACTTTAGTAATCGTGATAACAAGGTGAAAAGATAAAATATAGTTCCTTTGGGCTAAATAATACTTGGGCGTTATTTTCGCATTTAAACAAAATCAGACTGGTTGGTAAAGGCTTCACTTAGGAGGTTTAAATTTTAAGAGTAAACCTATTAACCCCCTTAATTAATTTACGTCACAAATTAGACTATTTCTCTCAACCAGGGTCACTTCTTCTCACAGAATTTTATTTCTCATTAAAATATTTTGAGGTTTATAATATTTTCTGTATCTAAAGCTTTTGATTCTGGTCTTTTTTAGCTCAGATCTCACGACTTTGGCCTTCTAAAGGAGATATAAATTTCGAGAATGTAACAATTTTCCACCCAGAGAATGACCAACCAACCATCAAATCACTCAATTTACATATCCATGCGGGTCAAAAGGTAATATATTTTTTACTGTCTCTCTTTTATTAGTTTAAAATGAAAGTTTTGATCACTTTTTTTTATTTTCGTTTAATATCTGAGAAAATTGTCAAAAAGGGGATACATTTTGCACTATTTTGCACAGGAATTTTATTCGCCTGAATACTTTTGGTGATGCACTGGTCTAATCTTTTATGAAAACACTTCTTTGTTGATATTTTTAGGTTGGAGTGTGTGGACGATCTGGTAGCGGTAAAACATCTCTTATAATGTCGCTCTTTCGAATGGCAAATATTAAAGAAGGGAGAATTTTAATCGATGATGAAGATATTTCAGAAATACCTTTGAAACAATTACGTTCAAAGTTAGCTGTTATTCCACAGGATGTACTCATGTTCAGTGGCAGTATTAGGTAAATATCATACAGGCTAAAAAAGAATCTTTTTCTCACTTCTTTACTGAAGAAAAAGCAACTCGATGAATCCATTTTGGATTTTTGTATAACATATGAAATACTGAAAATATTGATCTGGAATTTCAATGACACAAAATTAAATAATATTTATATCTTCAGAAATGTGAGTTGATTTATGTTAACAAAAGTTAAGACCTCAACTTCACCAATTTTTCCCCTTTTCTTGCAAGCAGTTACTGCTATGTATCTAAATCTCAACTCCAAACTCGCATCACTCAACATCCCTTATTTTTTAGAATCATTTTATGTATTTTCTTCATAGAATTCATCTGGGCTATCTCCAGATTGCTCAATAATTAATTCTTGAAGTGGCATCTCAAAGATCATGTATTTTTTTGCAGAGAAAATCTTGACTTGCTCAATCAGTATACAGATGAACAAATTTGGAGAGCTTTGGAAATGGCTCAGTTATCAGATTTTGTACAGCAACTTCCCAGTAAATTAGGTAAATATTCAAACTCATTTCTATACGCTCACTCGCACTTTGTCGAAATTCTGCTGGGTCTTCCAATGCCAAAAAGAAATCTGGCTTTCCTTATTTCTCACGACTGCTAATTGCTAAATCCTCCTAAACCTACTAAGTATACTTACACTAATCGTTAAGCAGTCAGAAAAATTTTCAGAGATTTGTGTAAATACCTGAATGAAAATTTCAAATATAATAAAAAGAGAGTACACAATTTTAATTGGCGCATTGTGTTAACCTTTTTGCAAAAACTTAGCATATTCTAGAAAATTGAGGAGGCCTCTTTGAAAATTGTAAAGGCTAATTAGAACTGTTTGCACCCCTGTGCCTCCACTGCACCTTCAGTTTTGAATTAGCAAGTTAATACTACAATGTGTATCTAAACCATGATCCTTTTTGTCTATTAAAATTTGCGTTCTCATTTCAGACAGCTTAGTTAAAGAGGGAGGTTTCAATTTTAGCATTGGTCAAAAACAGTTGTTTTGTCTAGCACGAGCCATTCTGCAGGATTCAGTCTGCTTGATAATGGATGAAGCAACAAGTTCTCTAAGTCCTGCTATTGAACCAAAACTTCTCGCCTCTGCTGAAGAAGCCTTTGCCAACAGAACTGTATTGTCCGTTACGGTGAGTGCACGGAATTAAAAGTAAATAAATTAAACAACCTAATCGATTTGTTTCACCTGCTAAAAATAAATCTTGGCTAGCAGATTAGAAACCACTAAACATATGTTACACGTACCAAAGCAATCATTAGGTTCAAGAGCGTATTGAGTGAGTCAAATTGTGTTACTGGCCAGCAGTTAGCTAACGTGGAACAAAAAAGCAGAGGGGACCTAAAATCCGGTGCTTTATTGAGGAAAATCAAACTCTTTCTGAGGATTTATTTGGCATCTGTGACCCTTTATGTCTCTTTAAACTTTTTAATTGCATTGGTGAATGTGATTTCTCAAGTTTATCAGTATCAAATGAACAAATTGGAATTGTCAGGACCAGTGGCTCATCTTATATAAACTCAAAATTTATTAGGTATTGAATAATTAAAAATAATGAAAACAGAAAATTAAGCCTTTGGTGTAGGGATGTACATCAATTAAGATATTTAAAAATATTTGTAGACACATCATTTATAAAGAGCCAATCAGTTATATATTTATATAAATAGAAGTGCACTTTAAAATTGAATAGCCTCTTGAAAGGGGAAATCAGGATAATTTGTTCTTTTTGAATTGTTTTCAAATATACTTGAATCTACAATATCAATTTAATTAAACTTCAGTTTTTAAGTAAACCTTTTCCTTCTTTCAGCATCATTTGTCAAGTGTTATGTCATACGATAGAATTATTGTCATGGACTGTGGATCAATTGTTGAAGAGGGATCTCCGTCTCAGCTTCTCTCTCGCCCTCTTGGATTTTTCTCATCAATGTTAAGAGCGTCTCAGCAAAATACTTCATCAGAATTTGAAGACATTAAATCATTTCAGAACAGCATCCCAAATTAACGAATCTGAAGTGCCCTGAATATCTGTCAAAAATAATTGATGTTTTCTGTTTAAATAAAGTCTATTTTCCTCCAGCTTGTTAGAGCCGAATCATTTGTTAAAACCTACCTAAAATTCTTTAGTTTAGAGACTGTTGTCGATTGTATTTTCCAAGAATTTACTTTTCCAAAAATATTTAGGTTGAGTTAAATTTTATTCCTTAAATAACCTACATTCATTTCTATTATTTCAAATAATTCAAGTTGCAGCAGGCTTGACTGGGGTGAATTTTCTGTATCAGCATGTAGTCATATACGAAGAAAAAAATACTGCGGTATCAGGGTATTACATTTTACAACAAATTAATTTTTTACAGATAAAATGAAAATATTATTTATTTTTCATTCTTTAAGGAACATTGGTAGTTGTTGAAGAAAATAATCCATAACGAGTAAAACAGGCAAATTCCTAGATTGGCATACATGAACAAGACCTCTGAATTTGAGGGAAAATGAGATCTTAAAAAAAGGACAACAAATGAAGAAATTGAAATATTTGAAATTGTAAGTGGCAAATCCTGACTTCTACAACCTTTAGCATATCACAAGAGCTTCTTTGGATCCTCTCAGAAATTAACAGAAACATTATTTTCCAGCTCTCATACCTATACCCTCATCAATTCAGAGACTGGGTTGAGTTTAAAATCTTTTGATCTATTAAGGGCTTTCAAAAAAGAGCAAAAATTCTCACGCATGTCACAAAACGGTGCATGTGAAAGTGAAAATATTTTTACCGAGAGGGAACTTTATCCCCTTCCTCATAATTGTACTAAATAACATTATACCAAGTCAGGAACAGATAATAGGTACCAAGGTTGAAAAAAACAGCACTCATAATATTATTCATTAACCTTGCAGACGAGTAGAATCTGATATCAAATTTCTTTTCGTTTATTGAAAGAAACGAGCTTAATGTTGAATAAAAAAAAATTAGGTAAACCTTTTGATTTTTGGAGGTTTGTCAGATAGTTATCTTTCAAGGTAGAAAATTATGACTCCCATCTTGATTTCTTTTTGGTGAATACTTCTTGTCCATCTTCTGCAATTGCCGAATAATAGCCCATGCCTTCATACTTTTTTCTCATGTATGCAATGTAAGCCATACTTCCTAGCAAAGCAGCAAGGCCGATTCCCATGATGACTTTATTCTGGGCAAAAAAGAAAACATTGGAAATTAGGTGTTTACATATTGAAAGGAAGAGAGGTTGTGAAAACATTATCTTCAACTTATACAGAACTAAAGTCATTTATAATATTACAGGAATAAGTATAAATTATGCTTTGACGAACAGAGCAAGCCTTAGCATACTTGGCACTCTCGGTGAAATTTTGCTATTCACCTTCTTTAATGTAAATGGTGCATGTTTTTTTTTTTTTTTTTTTTTTTTTTTAAACAGGCTTTGACTAAGAAAAAAGAGTAATATCAATCTTTCAACAGGGTGTTGTGTTACCTAGAACATAAAGCTCCAACTCAGTAGGGGAAATGCAATTACAGCTAAATATTAGGGTATTTTTTCCTGATCTCTGGTTGTGATCAAACTGGCATGCACTGGCATCAACTGCATCAGGAAAATTTGCGTTATGGGGACGGGGTATTCTGATTGCTCCTGTGTATGTTGTTAAAAACATAATTCAAAAAGTGCAAAATTTGAAGAGGCACAAACAGGATATTACCACATAAAGAGTGTCGTTGTTGACCCTAATATTCCTGTATTGAAGGAGGTACTATTGACGTAGCCCCATCCTGTTTCTATTACCTACTTTCAAGTTCCGCACATATTTAGTGGAAATGATTCTCAAGTGCAAGGGTAACCATCATTATTCTGGGCTTGGAACTCAAAGCCAATTGTTGACCAGATTGATGGGATATATTGCATGCCGGCTCAACCACAATCGTGCCCTGTAATAAGTCGTCTTCAGTTCATTGATATATTACAGATCGCTTGGCATAAAAATTGGGAAGTGATGATTCTAGCCTTTATCGCATAAGTGCTCTCTTATAGAAGATTTGCCCATAAATTTCAAACCACTTTTTTCAAAATCTTCATTTCTAGTTTCAGCTGTTTCCATCAGGACACTAATCAGTCAAAGGTCTTCACATTCTTGAGTACAAATGGTAGTTAGACATTCTTCGCCAAGGACAATCTTTCGGTAAAACAGATTGGGGAAAGATAATTTCGCAGCAGATATTGTAATGGGCTTGCCTTGTAGAACTTGTCTAAAAAATAGGACATTCACCGCTGAGCGCTGGTATTCCTCATAGTTTGAGACGGTCTAATAATGTTATTTCGACAAGTTTAGGTAGGTACTTACTGGTTTAGCATAGAGTTCAAAGTTCAAAGCTTTGAAGGCGGTGGAGGTTTTGAGAGATTTAATTCCATCGCCCGGAGCCGGCTCTTTGCTAGTCATCTCTTCAATGATGGGAGCAAGGGAACCCTGCAATATTTTTCACAGTGACGATATGACACTCATTTTCGATAACGCAAAATAAGTTAACTTAAACTAAAGATTCTAATTCAGCATTATACGATCAATAACTAATGAATTTGGTAGAAGAATTTATAAAATAACTAATAAATTAGGTCCTCGGACGTACGAAGGGCACGTGTTGTTTACATAATAAAGAAGTCTAACCTCAAAATTGCACATTTGTATGTTGTGAAGTTTGTCAACAAAAAGTATTGAAGTGAAGTGTTTTCATAATCGGTATGAAGAATTAAAATAAATCTAAGACATGTCGCGGCAGTATATTATTTGAATGTAGCCTTTGAACCACCGTCAAGCAGTTTGCTTCGCCTCTGACTGTATATTATTTCTACTTTCAATTTATATGCCTCTAAGTTTTCAGCACCTTGATTAAACCCTTCATTCCGACTAGTTTTTATCTCTCTATGCATCATGGAGTGTTTGGAAATGTTTACCAGTGAATTTTATGCACCTTGATTCATCATATTCTTATTTGTCGAAGAACTCATTATGAGGAGAACTCGAAGCAGCGTCAAGAGGACTACTTCGGAAGATGTGGAGGCCCCTCAAACTCAGCCGGTGAAGAGGAGTAAGTACCGGATTGAAAGTGAGTCTGATTCAGATGAGGATTCTAACAGTTCCGCTGGCAGCAATGGTAAAGTAAACAAGTATGGTATTGTAGAAAACCTAAACCTAAGTGAAGACTCGGATAGTGAGGACAGTGAAAAAGAAAAGATCAGTAAAACTAGGAATACTACCTCACTTGCCAGTCTTGCATCAGAATGTCAGAAAAAATCTGAAATTAAAGTTGAGCTCAATAACTCTCCACTAGCAGCAAATTTGAGCGATGATTCTGATCAAGATGAAAAACCCGTTAAATCAGAGTATTTTGATTTCACAGAAATTTTGCAATCACAAAAGACAGCCTCAGAATCTATTCAAGATGAGTTATCATCTAAAGATGTCAAAACAGAGGTGCCAGTCTCGAAAAAAGAAGATGAAACAAAAGTTTCAAAAGCAAGCTCTAGAGGAAAGAAGCCAAGAGCCACTAAAAGCCAAAAGTTGCCATCTCCTGACAAATCTACTAAGTCGGGCGATTCTAAAAATTCTGTTTGTAGTGACATTAATGCTCTTAGTGTTGCTGAACTTCTTTTGATTGGTGAAAATATTACCAGCGACAAAGATGTACAGCAATTGAAGGCAGAAGCTCCGGAAGAAAAGAAAAGCCAAGACTTAGAAATTACAATAGCCTTACCAGATTTACAGCCTCATTCAAAGAAAAAAAAGAAAGACTTGAAAGAGATAATGAGGTTGAAACTAAATGCCAAAAGACGTGAAACTCAAGTTCTCATGCATAAAGTGCACATATTGGTGTGGATAGCTCATGGAAATTTTTTGAATTCAGTATTAAATTCTCAAGAACTTTTGGGCGCTGCCCTATCACTAATTCCATCACCAGATAGCTACCCGCGTAAACATATGGATATTGATTATCTGGAAAAACTCACTAAATTCTTCAAGAAAAAAATCACTGTAAACCCTGACTTAGCTGTGAAAGGAACAATCAATGATAACTTATTGGCAGCATTCGAAAATAAAGAAATACCTGACTACAAGTACCTAGTTTTGATGTTTATTTGTGTTCTTCGAGCACTTGGTCTTCAGTGCCGACTTGTACTAAACCTTGTCACTGTCCCCTTAAAGCCCCCTCAGGAAGATCTCTTAACACCAGAACAGATGTCATCTGCTGCCGGTGACGGCAAAAAAAGTTCCTCAGGGTCGAAGTCAACCCCTAAAAAAACAAAATCCTCCGAATCGAATAAACGGAAAGATTCAGATCACAAGGAGCCGAGTAATGAAAAGCCCAGTTCAAGCAGGAAGTCCACCAGAACAAAAACCTCTAAAGACCGTGAAGATGTGGGTAAGAGTTCTAAATCTCATTATTTTTCTGACAGTCCAGAGAGTCCTTCAAAAAGTTCTCGCTCTAAGAGTAGCAGTTCCAGAAGTAAGTCGTCCAATTCAAAAACTTTACCTCAAAAAGAAGAAAAGAAAAATGGAAGTAGTTCTAACAGAAAGCAAACCTCTAAAGAGGCGCACCAGAAGCCTGTGAAAAGAGCAAGCAGGAATAAGAGGCAAGTAAATGAAGCGTCATGTTCGAAAGACTCTGATTTATTGGTGATCGAAGAGGATTTCACAAGTGATGATAGCGAATCTGATACTTTCGCAACTCCAAAAAAGAAAATTTGCCGAAAAGTATTATCCACTGATGATGAAGAATTTGAAGTTCCTAAAAAAGCGAAGTACAAGAAACCTGTAAAAAAAGGACATGATGTATGGGCAGAAGTGTTTGCTGAGGCCGAGGAGAAGTGGTTGTCTGTTGATGTTGTGAGCACCAAAATCCACGTGACACAGCAGCTATACGTAAGTTTTTCTGTCTATAAAATAAGACATCTAAGCCTTACTGTAGGATGGCTCAAAGATTCCATATTTCTGGGGGATGCTAATCTTTAGACGTTTATTGTGCTTGAGGGTTCCTTTGGTCCCCTCGACAGAAATTAAGTAATTATTAAAAAAAAAAGAAAAAAATTATTGCTGAAAATTCTATTTATTTTAGCATGGTCACAGATTTCGTTTAAAACTTTATGGTGAATTTCCTTTGTTATTTGACAAAATTTTGCTTACATTTTCAAAATACTAATACATGCATATATTACGGAAAAAAGTTCATGGATGAGACTCTGCAACATTGAGATGATTTGCAACTATGCTTCTCTGGCTCTCACCCCTCTATAAAATTCTTGAATCCACTTTTTTGTAAATTTTATGGGGAAGGAACCTGTCGAGTGAGGGAGTCCAAAAGAAAACATTTGGGCCTCCCCTCTCTTATGAGAAGAGAAAGGATTGTTTCTCATGGAAGAGATGAAAAAGTATTGTTTTTCTTGGAAGGGATGAAAAAACAACGGAAATTTTGAAACACTGCAATGGAGATACATGGTTTCACAATTTAGTAGGTGCGATACGGACATCCATTGAGTTTAGTTAGTTTCATCAAGTCCCTATCTCCGCCGACCAACGCGTTCGTCGATCGACTCAGTTTCAGTTGGTGCGTAGGAAGTCAAAACGCCTTCAATTTTTTGAACGCAATACGGACATCCGTCGAGGTTATACAGTTGTATCAAGGCGCCGTAGCAGACGCGTCCCATTGTTTATCGTTACAGACGAATATAAGTTGAGAGAGGAAAGTCAAAATGCCTTCAATTTACTTACATATTTTTGGGCAAAATGAGAGACGACGTTTTTCCATTTGCGACGGTGCAGATATCCTAAGAAACTTTATTTATTTATTTTTTTTTGGAGATGCTGGTCAACATAAAAGTTACATTCTCTATGATTATTCGTAATCCATAGTACAAGATTTGGTTCAAAATTTAAAGTCGTAAATTTGGATTGTTTCTCGTGGAAGAGATGAAAAAATAACGTAAATTTTGAAACACAGCAATGGAGATACGTGGTTTCACACTTCAGTCGGTGCGATACGGACATCCATCGAGTTAAAATAGTTGCATAAAGGCGCCGTAGCAAACGCGTCCCATTGTTTGTATAGGTATGATAGCAGAAGATTTGGTTCAAAATTGAAAGTCGTAAATTTGGATTGTTTCTCTTGGAAGAGATGAAAAAATAACGGAAATCTTGAAACACCGCAACGGAGATACGTTGTTTTACAATTCAGTCGGTGCGATACGTGCATCCATCGAGTTTAGTTAGTTTCATCAAGTCCCTGTCTCCGCCGACCAACGCGTTCGTCGATCGACTCAGTTTCAGTTGGTGCGTAGGAAGTCAAAACGCCTTCAATTTTTTGCACGCAATACGGACATCCGTCGAGGTTGTATAGTTGTATCATGGCGCCGTAGCAGACGCGTCCCATTGTTCATCGTTACAGACGAATATAAGTTGAGAGAGGAAAGTCAAAATGCCTTCAATTTACTTACATATTTTTGGGCAAAATGAGAGACGACGTTTTTCCATTTGCGACGGTGCAGATTTCCTAAGAAACTTTATTTATTTTTTTTTTTTTTGGAGATGCTGGTCAACATAAAAGTTACATTCTCTATGATTATTCGTAATCGATAGTATAAGATTTGGTTCAAAATTTAAAGTCGTAAATTTGGATTGTTTCTCGTGGAAGAGATGAAAAAATAACGTAAATTTTGAAACACAGCAATGGAGATACGTGGTTTCACACTTCAGTCGGTGCGATACGGACATCCATCGAGTTAAAATAGTTGCATAAAGGCGCCGTAGCAAACGCGTCCCATTGTTTGTATAGGTATGATAGCAGAAGATTTGGTTCAAAATTGAAAGTCGTAAATTTGGATTGTTTCTCTTGGAAGAGATGAAAAAATAACGGAAATCTTGAAACACCGCAACGGAGATACGTTGTTTTACAATTCAGTCGGTGCGATACGTGCATCCATCGAGTTTAGTTAGTTTCATCAAGTCCCTGTCTCCGCCGACCAACGCGTTCGTCGATCGACTCAGATTCAGTTGGTGCGTAGGAAGTCAAAACGCCTTCAATTTTTTGCACGCAATACGGACATCCGTCGAGGTTGTATAGTTGTATCAAGGCGCCGTAGCAGACGCGTCCCATTGTTTATCGTTACAGACGAATATAAGTTGAGAGAGGAAAGTCAAAATGCCTTCGATTTTATAAATACATATTTTTGGTCAAGATGAGAGACGACGTTTCTTCAATTGCAACGTTGGAGACCTCCTAAGAAACTTTATTTTTTCGTACGGCAGCTAGTCAACATAAAGCGTAAATTCTCCGTGAATTTTCGTATAAGATTGCTGAATATTTGCTTCCAAACTTGAAGTCGTAAATTTGGATTGTCTCTAATGGAAGGGATGAAATAAGAACGGAAATTTTGAAACTACGGAATGGAGATACGAGGTTTCGCACTTACGGCGTTGCGATACGGACATCCAACAAGATTAAATAGTTGCATGAAGTCCCCTTCACCGCTGACCAATGTGTCCGTCGATCGAATCGACTATAGGTAGTATGAGCAGGGAGTTAAAACTCAGGAGTCAAAACAGGAAGTATCCCTGTTGAAATACAAACATAGAGCTACAAATGATACATTTGGTAGATTTTATGTTCAAATTCTAAAGAAGATCCACGGAAGTCGATTTTTGAACGCGGAACTTAGAAATGGAAACATTTTTAAAGCTAAAATGTATAAACCTAGCAACGATTAATAAATGTGTACTTACGCTCATGGTTACGGAATACTAATCATATTATAAAATTACATCTAAACACCATACACAGATCTTTTGGTGATCAATAAGTTCGTTTTTTCATTCAGAAACTTACAAAAATGAGCAATTTTCATAGGTCTTTGGTGTCAACTTTGCAACGTTGTATCAAGAGAATTAGCAGTATTACCGTATCAATAGGAATATGGATTTAAAGATAAGACTGACTGTAGGTAAAATGTCACAAAATAACATATTATACCCTATGGAGTTGTTCTTTAAAGTAAGAGATTTGAAAATATGCGAATTTTTAAAGCTTAAATATGCAAACTTTGCAACGCTGTATATTGGAAACCAGACGTAAGCTAAAATTTTTACTGGAGGCTTGTCTTATCATAACGTTTCATTTAAGCCGCATACGAATGAAATCTCCGAGTTTCAAAAAAGGGGCCTTTTTTTGGGAGGCTTTTTGTTTCACAAGAAAAAATTCGAAGAGAAAAATAATAATTAAATTACCTAACATTACATCATACAAAAATACATTATCAAAATGTGAGGCAGAACCACCAATCTTTGCTACCTCCGACTAATTTTGAATCAAATCCTGGTTTTCTTTTCATTGATTTTTTTCATGATCTGTTGCGTCTGTTTCTATCAGAATGCTGCCACCCATCCGGTAGCCTACGTGCTGGCATGGAACAATGATCAAACCATCAAAGATGTTACTCGTCGTTACGTAATTAATTACAACAGTGCTGGTAAAAAATTTCGAGTGGAACCTGCTTGGATGGAGAAGACCTTGCGGCCATATCGTGGCGCCCGCAGTGCTAGAGATAAAGAAGAGGATGAAGATCTTGATAAATTGATGCATGATCAGCCCAAACCACTCAGTATAGCAGAGTAAGTATCAATACATCTCGATACTATTAAAGAGATATAATCAGATATAATATATCAGATATCAATAAGGAAATTGGAAAAAATCTCAAGGTGGTACAAACCTCCTGTAAATTTTTCTGTTCATGGGATTGACTTTCCAGGAGTGAGGCTCCCCCAAAATTTGAAATAGTAGTATCTGCTCCCCCCCAACTCAGAAAATGTGCTCAACAGAAAATTCGAAACTTGTAAATTTCCGCGTCTCATTTCATACGTTTCTGATGTTTTTCAAGGATTATTGGTAGAGTTGAACTTTAAGATTGCTTAAGACTAAATTTTCCATCAAGAAAGCCGTAAAATGCATCAATAAAAGGTCAATTTTTTAACATGTTCTAAGGAGGGAGGGGGCCAAAACACTTCTTTCTACCTAGTAGACCCAGACCCCTTCTGGAGAAGTGAGAGCTAGGCCACCCTCAGAGAATCGCTTTGATATGCGTCCGTTTCTGTCGCAGCAAAGTAACCAGTTGTTTTCAATTGGTGAAATTTCTCCATTTTTCTTAAACCAAGTATGTACCTAAGGATATTCTTTCAAAATTTTGTGGTAGAATTCTAGTCATGCAGTTTAGTTTTGGGAGAGCATTTAGAGGAAGAGCAGAAATTTTGGAGCACTGCAACCATTTTTTTCTTTTTTTTTTAAAGAAAAAACTCTCAAGCTGTGGAAACCCTTTTAAAAATACTCAAAAAAGATCCAAATTCGCTGTTAACAGAATTCTATAACCCTTAATAAGCAACAAACTTTTCTTCAATTACATATTTATTTTGGAAAATCCTCACAATTTTCGCCTTGGTTTTTGTAATTGTAATTTTTGTGTGTGTTTGGGCTCCTTGGAGCCTGTTTTTTTTTAATAAAATAAATTACAAAAAAACCTTCATTTTTTAGGTATAAAAATCATCCACTATATGCTCTGAAAAGACATTTATTGAAATTTGAAGCAATATATCCACCGGATGCCCCTCCTCTTGGATTTTTGAAGGGAGAACCAATTTATGCTAGAGAATGTGTTCGAGAACTTCACTCCCGAGAAACATGGCTCAAAGAGGCAAAATTGGTTCGTGTGAATGAGACCCCATACAAAATTGTTAAAGCAAGACCTAAGTATGATAAAGTGAGTAATCTTGTCAATTCTAAAAATGTATTTTCTCTTCTGTTGTAGAACAATTAGTACGATGAAAGATCTTATTGCTTTGTATAATTCATTTGATTTGTTACCCACTCAAGGTCGAATAACTTTTGCTTGATGAAGAGCAGAACATAACTGAAATTGGTATTGGTTCTAATCATCTCCTGAAAATTAAAATGTCAGGGCGATCCATTTTCTGCTATGACTCGACTTGAAAAATGAGTTCGTGAAGCCTTAAGGGGATGGAAGCACACTAAGTATTGACCTATCTTAAATCATATTGACTATTAATAGAAAGCAATAGCTGAAGTTCTAGTTCACACTGGTTTTTTCCTGTCGAATAAATGATCAGAATTTATGAAACTTGTTGTTACCTTTTGATCAGTATATTAATCGTTCATAGGTATAGCCAACTATGAACGCCTTTTTTTGTTTCAAAACATTAAATAAATACAATTGTTCAGTTCACAGGAACTGTAAAAACTGATATACCTCTAGAGCTTTTTGGAGAATGGCAAACAGAAGACTATATGCCTCCTATTGCTAAAGATGGGATTGTTCCGAGGAATGCGTATGGGAATGTTGATTTGTTCAAGCCTAGCATGTTACCAATAGGCACAGTCTACCTTGAATGTAAGTAAATTGTATAGATAGAAACTTTCTACATTCTCTTCCTCTCTAATGTTAAATTCTCGATTTTAATGTGTACTGAGCTTTTTACAGTTCAAAATATTCCAAAAAATGAGTAGAATGTGAAAACCCTTGTGACAAATTGTCTTGAATAAGAAATTGGGCCCTTAAATTAAAAAATTACACGGAATTTCGTTTCAAGTTCATAGATCCTTAGAAGTATGCAAGAATATGTCCATTTCAAAAAACAGGATTGATCTCAAATTTTCGATTTTTTTGGCTATAGATCAGCACTTTTCTCCTGTGTGAAACCCACATTTTCTTCAAAAAGTGAAGAGAATAAGAGGTTTTTTGGCTTAACTCTCCATGAGACTTTATATCAATATTGATATTGTTTTCAACTTAATGTCCCAGTTTTAGTGTCATCATTTAACCCATGAACACCCCAGCACCACCCATGCAGTTCATGCTAAAAGCACCAGAAATCTCTAGCATTCAAAGTCATTTTATCCATTCTCTTGGTATTTCCATCTGGGAAGACCTTCATCGCTAGGCTGTCCCCCACAATCCCTACAATAAGTGCTTAGATGACTCAACTATAACCCGTGGACTACTTGTTAACCACTACTTCTGTTGCCACTTCTTAGCAGTTGAGCAATATTCGGCTAATATTTAAAAGTGAACATTTCTCGCTAATGCAAATAAGGTGATTGGTCCAGAATTAATAGGTAAAACCGTTTACAAATCGGTTTAGCTTCAATTAAAAATACTTAAACTTTATGAGAAAAGTGATTTTTAAACTAACCGTGTTCATGCGCAGTTTTGCCATAGCAAGTGTAGAGTGTTCGTTTTGGGGTCTTAGTGGCAAAAGTCTCTGCGCTGGCTGCGAAAGCTCCCGTAGATGTGCCCTGAACAGCCACTAATTTTATGATGATTACACAAACCCTTCTTATCTTCCTTTTTTGAAAATAGTTTCTAAAATAATTATACCTTTTTTCAGTACCTGGAGTGTATCGGGTAGCTCGGAAGTTGAATATTGACTGTGCAGCAGCTGTCACTGGTTTCGATTTTCACTCTGGAGGATCTCATCCAGTTATTGGAGGCTATGTAGTTTGTGAGGAGTTCAAGGATGTAATTCTTGATGCCTGGAATGAAGAAGCAGATAATGCTTCCAAGAAGGAGGAAGAAAAGAGACTTGCTAGAGTTTATAAAAACTGGAAACGCCTGATAAGAGGTGCTCTCATTCTTAACAGAGTGAAATTGAGGTACATGAGAAATGATGATTGAGAGACAGAGAAATAAAACATTAACTCTTAAGCCGTATAGTACCTGTTAATTTAATGAATAAAGCTCTTTAAGAAGATTGCTCAATGTTAGTCCGTACTTGTAATAAACAAAAGATGAAACCATCTTGGCTTGTTACTTTAAAAGTTGTTCGAATATTCCATGAATGCTCATTTATTATCTACTTACTATCATTAAGTTTAAAATAAAACTGTCAGCATCACTTGATTTTTTAATGAAATCTGTCCAATTTTTAGAATCTTACTACTAGGGCGCATAAGTTTGCTCTAAATTTTGATTGTACAAAATTTTACCTATCACCAAGATTCCATTCCTCAAAAAATCATCTTATGTGAACTCCAGAAAGCTCAGCAACATTTCAGCTTGCGTTTTCCATAGGTTGCCACCAAATTGGGCGTGGATAATCGTCCATCACCATAGTGCCATAACTTCATAACTTAAATGAAGCTCTCTTTATTGCCTCTTGAATTACGTATTATATCTACTTTCTTGAAATTAACTAAGATTTTGGCTGGATCCTCCACCTGTCTTTTCATCGAAGTGTATGTTTTATCTCAATTTAATACGTATACTATCATAAATATAATGGGGTAAAAATCTAGTGAGAATGCATCTACTTTTGAAGTGGCTGTATTTCCTAATTATTGAATAAATTGTACTTACCTCTAATGTGCTGTTTTGTCTCTTTTGGTTGATATTTGTGGATTATACCGCTGAAAAACCGCCGGGCCCCCATTACCACAGCCTCAGCCGCCAATGAAGGAGCCTCTAGAAACTCATTTTTAAGTAATCCTAAGCCACTAAAATGGCTTACATCTTTCTATGGTATTGTTAAACCTGATTTTTAGCGACTTGCGAATGTGTAATCACATTGCTTTTGGTTCATATTTGTTTGTTCTACTGCTGATAAATAGCCAGTTCCTCATTAGGTGCCCTAACAATCATTACAATGACCTATCATTTGAGAGCAATCACATCATTTAAAAATATAGTTAGGGATTTCAGAAATTGTTTTTCAATTCTTTACATCATGTAACAGGAATAAGGGTAGTATTAATCAGAATTGTTTGTTTTTAAACCACTTTAATTAATGATGGTGCCATGCTCACGATTCTCAGTCGCTTATCTCCTTCTTTGTTGCACTTTTGCATAGGTACCAGACATCTCGCAAAACTTTCTCTCCTCAATAGATTTAATCCAGGCTTTGTTATAAAGGTGCGTTTGCCGAGTATTTCAAGTAATTTTGACTTCAGTGTCTCCTCTGAAATATTTACTCTGTCTTTAGGCGATTCTTTCAATAACTCATACCTGATTGTTATATTTGTAGGTATGTTAAAACTACCTTTATCCCTCATTCAAATTTACATTATCCGCTTCAGTATGCGGTAATTTAGAATAAAAACCACGATATAACTTACCAATGCATTGTGAATAGTGTGTTGCAGCGCTTCGAGATCAATCAGTTTTTAGCCTATTCCTCCTCAAGATTTTCCAATTTTTCAAGAAGTCTAGTTTTACATTCTTAGGTGAAAATTTATTCACTTTTTTCCGCAAATCTGCCCTTATTTCCTTTTCAAACTCTTCAGTGCAATTCTTTGGCAAAATAAGTGCTGTCTCTTTACGTCAAAATGTTCCTCCAATCAAAGTCTCTTTTTCACGTAGAAAATTTACTCGAATTTCTGCTCCTTGTTTTCATGTACTTTTTAACGGACTCATTATTCGAATGTTTTGGCTGTTCTCTGCATGAACCGTTTCATTAATTTTACTCAGCCATCCTTCAAACTTATTATCTCTCCTCTGTTTCTACAGATTCTTTCAAATCTAATGCTGTTTCTTCGTTTCTATAATCTCGCCAAACACTGTGCGGTCGCTGGTCGGCACGATAAGCATATTAGGTAGCGCCTACAAGAGTGCAAGAATACTTCACGCATTGCGCCAAACACAGTGCGGTCGCTCGCTGGTCGGCGCGGTAGCATATTAGCGCCTACAAGAGTGCATGAATACTTCACGCATTGCGCCTAACACAGTGCGGTCGCTGGTCGGTGTCGAATGCAAATATAATACGAGGCGGATTTTATACCAATAAATCTTTATGTGCCCGTGGGGCGTGATACAACTATTCGATCTCCTGGGAGCTCGGTGTGCAAATAAGTAAATAAGAAAAACAATTGGCCAATAATGTCTCCAATTCCTATACCTAATTTTTTTAACGATTCGTCGAAAAAATAAAACATAAAACTGCTGATTGTGTGCGATCGCATTTTCATGTCTGAATCATTACTTGAAGTTTTCTTGAGTTTTCTTTGCACAGAAAAGAAAAACCGCATCGGTTTTTAAAGAATTGCCGTTGAGTAGCTTTCCATTCCAAAAAGAAAGTATGACAGGAAGTCTAGGCTACCACGTCGCAAACCGAGATACGGGGTTGCGGACTTACACCGTCAAAATGCTTGTAGATCTTCGGATCACATAACAGCATGATATATTTTTTTGTGAATACGAATAAATAATTCGGACCAAAGATGTTCATTCGTTCGCCAAGGTCGCGAAAGAGCGAAATATCCTGGAGAAATAAAGGAGGAAAATTACTTTTTACGCATATTTTACTGTGGATGCACGAACTCAGTGGCGTGGCGTGAATTACGATGTATCGATTGTTATGCCATTTAAACTTATGGTAAAGAATCGACTATTAAGGTGTTCGCTGCGAACACCCTGTCTAGCGATCCTTTTCCATGGGTTTAAACGGCTTAACAATCGATACATCGCAATCCACGCCACGCCATTGTACGAACTTTAACTCTCTCCACGCACCGGAGCACTTAAACTCATAACGAGAAGTCTCCGTATCGCGTGCCTACTGCGTACGGATTCAACGATGAGGTTGAATAGAAGGTTTGACTGAAAGGTTTAGTCCCAAAATACCTGCATTTTTGCCGACGAACTAATCACTTTAGTCTCGATTACGTTAAACAAATAATAATTGTAATTATTGGCGCAGTATTCAATAAAAAAAGGAAAAATCAAGAGGACAAAATTTTTTGCTGATACGAGTTGTTAAATATTTATGATAAATACTAATTATGTCACGTATAGCGCAACGTAATTTTTCACAGAGAGTTTTTTATCTCTCTCTCTCCCACGTTTTCGGTCTGTCTCTGGGAATTCTGATTTTGAGCCGCAATCAAGCCTCACTTACCTACTCTTTGGCGTGATCAGTCAGCCGCAGCTTTCTGTATCTCTTTTTTATCCTACAGCGGCATAAGCNGGGGGGGGGGGGGGGGGGCGAGCGTCTCTCGACTCCAAAAAACTTTACTTCGGTTTAACACCTAGCACCGCCAACCTCTTTTGCTCCCGAAAGGACTTTTAAGTAACTATTTGTAACGATTCCAGTCCCAAATATATACTTATTATTCCAAGTCAATTCAAAAGTGTTGAACATCTTTAAATCCGCTCTCTCACAGCTAATTTTCAACTTTTTAGTGCTATCAGATCAGAGCATGGGCCCTTCAAGTTCGAGCCACAGATGTGACATGGTGCCAATGAGCCCCTCAGGTTCGAACCATGTGAAATGGTGCCATTGAACCCTCCGGGTTCGAACCACAATTGAAACATGGTTCCGACACCTTCCGAACGGCTTTAGTAAATTCTTCTGAATTTCTCTTCGCGCACTAAAAATCTCGTGTTTTTTTTTTTTTTTTTTTTTTTTTTTTTTTTTTTTTTTTTTTTTTTTTTTTTTTTTTTTNTTTTTTTTTTTTTTTTTTTTTAAGCACGATTTATGGGTCGTATGTCAAGTGTCTCACCTCACTCACAGTGCGTTGAAATTTCTTTTTCGCATATTCTACACACTTAATTTTTATTCTTCGCACAGATGTGAAAAATCCTCGTTCAGTTTCAGGACATTTTGTCAACGATTTTTTGTCCGCGCACCTTTTTTGTCCCAGTAGTTTACGCCCACACGTAAAATAAGCAACATTGACTTGGTCCAAGCGTTATATTTTAGTCGGTATGTAAAATTATATTGACAATATGGAAATAAGAAATTGAGAGAGAAGGAGGTGTTGTTATGGTTGCTCATTTTCTAAATGAAATGTTATTACCTTCTCCTTTTGAATCATCTTTTAAAATTGTCATTGGTGAATATTTGGTTTTATTTCTATCCTTAAAATATTGGATGTACAATATACCTTATATATGTATAGGTACTTTTTTTTATTTTTTTTTTATTTTTTCTTTACGAAATTATTACTTCGTTTTGAAAACATTTATATTTTCAAAATGTGACAAATATTTGTAAAACCTTTTCCAAGCGACATTAATCTCAATGAGCCGCAGTTGTGCCGACAGAAACTGCAAAAATGCACGCAATCTTTAGTTTTAACCCTATCGTACATCGACCTTTTAGAGTCAAATACGTCAAATTTTTAGCGTTTCGTTGCGCGTACCTACACCTCGCTGCAGCACAATAAAAGAACAAAATGTAAAAGAAAAAATTAAAGTGCTTTGGAAATCATTAAATTTGACACGGAACCACCAATATTTAAAAAAAAACACACATTATATTATTATTCTCCTTTGATAAATTGATACATATTTTTTTCTAATCAATTTAAATGAGAATAATCAATGCAGAGTGTGCTAACATTTTAAAAATCATGAGTTAAAAAACGCTGACTATGCGAGTATAAATATTAAAGCCGAACAGAACGGAGTGGCGTGCTGCCAGCGCGAGAGGCTCACTGGCGCCTACAAACCTAAGTGGATACTTCGCGCATTGCACAATGCTTGAAGTATCCACTTAGGTTTGTAGGCGCCAATGCGCGTTTTGCGCTGGCCGCCCGCCCGCCATGCGGCGACGCCTGAAGCAACTATTTCACAACAGAGGTGTTGCACAGTACTATACGAAATTGAACGTATTAAGAATGACAGGCATCCTTTAAAAGTACAGATCTTTCCTCGCAAAATAAATCAAGATACTTATCGTACACTGGAAAAATCTAAGAGCCTTTAGCTGAGGCAAATATAGAGGTTTATCCGGTTCAGGTACAACAAGGTGGGAATTTCTTGAAACATAATTTAGTCCTGTTACACCAAAGAGGTGTAAAGAGTTGTAGTGAATTTTATCTCATGAAATTGACGCTCCCCCATTTTTACCAAAACTCTCAACTATACATTATTCTCCGTTGGATCAAACAGACAAAACAAAAAAACAAGCAAACCCTCATTCTTCCAAGACATTATATATTTTCATCCAAAAACGTCATGAGCAATTGTCGTTTGTATTTACATGTGGGCCAATTAACTTTGGGTCTCAACTGGCACGTGGACCAAAAGACCCGTGCCGCAAAAACGCGTGGACGTAAATTACTGGAAAAAACAGGAGCGCGGACAAAAAATCGTTGACGAAATGTCCTATAACCCCTCGTTCTGTCAGTGTGTTCCCTGACTATCCACTCAGTTTCTTCATCCTCATTTTCAATTTCAATTATACCGTATCCGCAGGTATCCCCTCGCGACGGTCATTCTACAATAGAAACCGCACTTAAAACCCCTCAGTGTATCCAATAAAATTCTCTATAGTACCGTGGAAGTTGATGATTTTATCGATTCGATCGAAACAGCTTGCAAAATAAATTCTCGGAGGCCGGGCATTGTTCCGTTTTGAATCGAAAAATATCTCTCCCCGGAAGCGCGCTTTCTTTTTTTAGATTACTTAAGGCAAAATATCCAAATTTAAAATATGGTACTTTCATGAAAAATTACCTTTCTCAATTACAAGATGAGGATTTTCAAAAGGAAAAATAAGTTGCCATCTTGGAGCGACAAAAGGTCGGTCGGTGGCTGCCAAAAAAAGAGGGACTAACTCCGACCACCGTGGATCAGCGGTGGCGTGGCGTGAACAATCGATTATCGATATTTCCCCATTTGAAGCTATAGTAAAGAATCGATTATTAAGGTGTTCGTTACGAACACCCTGTTTATCGATTATTTTCCATAGGTGTCACTGGCAGATTAATCGATTTATCGCAAAGCACGCCACGCCACTGTGGATCAGAACTATCCTCTGGGATTGCCTCTGGCGGGCTCAAAGCAAATTAACTCCCCGGCTTTGACCCTGTCTCCATTATCAACTCTGGTTTCATTGTCGCGGGGTCGAGAACCTGCGATGGACTCGTTGAAGACAAAAGGACATCAAGGAAACCACGAATGACCAGGGAGCATGTGCTGATGGATTCTTGGCATCACAGCAGGAAAATAAAACGACATTTTCTTACGCAAAATAGGTACTCTTCTATTTTATATTCGACCGAGCGAAAATGTAAAGGGAAAGTCTTCCGTCACAATCCGAAGGGAACGAGTTATCGGGATCTCAAATGTATTTAAAATCACAGAAAAAGTTTTTTTGTACTTAAAAATAGAATTAAAGTTCACAGTCAACTTTTTTTGTAAGTGGGAAAGGGAATAAAACCACTTCAGCGCAAAGAGTTTCACTTATTGAAATTGGAGCAAGTGTCACGGTCCCCATGTGTTGATGGATCGTTGGCATTACATCAGAAAAATAAAATAACATTTCCCAGGCAAAACAATCTGCTATTAATTTATTTATTTATTTATTTATTTTAAAAAAAAATCAGTATTACCTACCTACCAATGTCCACACAAGCAAAATACAAATCAATAATGAATCATATAGATTAAAATAAGTCCAAGAGAATGAGAGTTCGAAAGAGATCTCTATTTTTATGCTGTTTGTTTTGCGTTAAAGTCTCCTCATAGATGTCTATCTTCTAAACGCCGTATGAACATTTGAGAGTTGTCAAATTTCCTCCGATAAAATGTTAATTTCGAAGGCGAGTTACGAATATTTCCTCTTTACATTTTAGAATATTTGGACCTGATTGTGAACGCAATTTTCAAACTGGAGGGAAAATATTCGCGGATTTCCCGAAAGATTCGCAATTTATCAAAAGAAATTTGGCAACGTCTGTCGACTCATACGGCTTTTTCCCTTAGCAAGGCAGTACTGCCCATGTCCATCTCAGGATGTGTAGAAACATTCGGAATGCAGCGAATAGGTGGATACAACTTGATTAACTTCGGAGTGGGGCTGGGTTGCGTCGCATCGCCTTTGAAGGCGAACTAGCAGCTTATCCGTTTCCAATCGATGCGGCGCTCTAACTGTTACGTTATTTGTAGCAGCACCATCCTTATTTTGCGATGAAAATGGAATCGTAGTTTAGGGATGAAAACTATGCTGGCTTGCTGAGGAAAAACGTCTGATGAAATTTCGACTGTCACCATATTTCCAGCCATCATTTTCTATTTTTTTAAAGCCTGACCATCAATGATCAGGTCTTCCTGCATCACCATATGACCAGAACTGCCTAGTATATCTTCATTTTTCTTAACGCTTTGCATTTGTATTGCAAATTATCGGAACCTGTCCAGGCAGTCGAACGGCTTGGAGGCCAATTATTTACGCATACTAATCTAATTGAAAGAAACGAGATCGCATGTGAACTGCACCGCAAAAAAACATTTGTAAAAGACAGTTTTAAGAAATTTTTAAGTACTGTAGGTAGATTCATTTGCGAATTAAAGACTGTAAAAAATTCAAAAGGTTATCCAGAAAATCCGTATTTAATAAAAGAAAATTCCTTACGCCCACGCGGCGTTTTTTCATGGCACGATAATATGGGAGATTTTGAGAGGATTTCCCACCCGAGATTGGCTTGCGCGCTCTCCAATGCATCATTCACGCATTGTGATTCCAATCTTTGTGCGGTAGCTTTTTAATTACAAAATAACAATAAAGCGAAAGGCTCAATGACCTCTAGACTTACACATTTCGTCTTGATAGAGATTCGTTCATCATTTGATGGCCCTAGGCCTTGGACTTGGAATTGACCTTGCTTTATTTCTGATCACCTCGCAGCCGATTCCTCGCGAATCTTGAACCAGATCATTTTTTCAGTCAGACTGTGAGGACGGCCTTTCTCCGTAAAGCTATGCTGCTATAATCGCTAATGATTTGCTTTCCTGTGATGTTGTGTTTTGTAGTGACTGCTCTCAGTCAAAACGCAAATTCAGTAAATAAATCGTGGCACCGTTCATAACGCTTTAACTCTCTCTGGTATGTGCTTACATTTGTGCGAGATAAACACAAAAAATATCAATTTTATTTTGATTTTGGAATGAAATAACTTCGCGGTGTCTCTCGTTAAATTTCGTAGTTTAAATCGGGCTTTCCATGGGTAAATACCAAAATTTTAAAGTTTATTTCCGCAACGCTTTTGCATTTGAGGACTTCCTTAATTCATATTTTTATTAAAACATCATTAAAAAGAAAATTGATTAAATAGTGTACGTTACTTATTGATAGTGACAGTGACAATCGTCATTCTGTGTTTCAAAAAACATGTCATATAGATACACTACAAGATTCATAAGCCCTATCCACCGCCGCACACCAAATGAAGTGACGAAGTGAGTAAACATTTAGGTAATTATGTACGGTTTTCCTCTCATTTTTTTATAAAAAGGACTTTTTACAAGCTTTAGCTATTTGGATAGGTATTTAGTTATTCTCGGCGCTAATTTTACTTTCAAACATCTAACTAAGTGATTAAAAATTCATTTTTCTTTCTTCTCATTTTTTATCAAAGTAACTTGGCTCGTTGGTTCGTTTTAATGTCGTACGTTGTAATGAATATTACCGTCATAAATCGTGCTGAGGAAAAACTTCGTATGAGCATAAGGATGTTGCCAAATTGTCTTTAAGAAAACATTTATTTTTGAAGAACTGTATGAATACTTTTCCTTGACATTTCAAACACTTTCGAATTACCTACCTGTAATAAATGTAGATTCGATTACACCGTCAGCGCCATATTTGCAGTCTGTTGTCCATCATGCCATGAATGTTATCCTTGTACATACCAGTCTTCTGTCTCTCGTCCAAGATAAATCTTTTGCATCCTCGTAACTGTGAGTTTCCCGTTCGTTCGTGTTCCCAGTGATCCTCGCCGACTTGAGTCGTCCTCATCAACGCGGAACACAACACCACGTACGAGCAAAGTTCTCTGAATTTGGAAGAAATTTGTTCACAAATTATTCGCAAAATTCGTGATTTTTCCAAGGAGATTCGGCAACGTCTGGAGGCCCATACGGCTTTCTTTTATTGTGGCCATACCTAAAAAGTTTCTTAACAATAACTCATGGCAAACATAATAAAACCCTCTGAAAAATGAAATCTTTCGCCACGATAGAAGTTTTCGAACCGTAAAATACAAAAATTATTCAAACTAACTGCAAACATTGTTTCCTTTACAGCTCGCAAAATCGACCTCGGAAATAAAGGTTTTTAGAGCTCTCTAAGATTGTCATCGATATTAATACGAGTTAAACTTGGTAATTATGAGCCAGAACTTTCTTTGACAAGAGGAGCAGAAATCGATCAAGATGTGCGACGTATTCATTTGGGCATGGCATTATCTAAGAGACGGAGCAGCAAATTCGGTGAGAAAGTCTTATTTCAGTTTCATACAATATTTATTTTTTTCCATTAACGATGGGCTTCAATTCACCCGGAAGATACCTTGGGGACAAAAAGCCTACAGCCCTGTTTATTCAAAGCTTGTGGAGCGGAGTGAGTGTATGTTCTTTGATTAGATGACTATTCGTGCTTCCCAGTAGGTTTGTTGCCTATGCGGCTAAATTGAAGGCGACTCACAGGTAGAAAGTTCACAATATTGTTCATACGTTCACCAAAAATTATGAATCGATAAAACTGTGTGTTTTAGAAAAGATAACTATTCGCGCTTCCCGGTAAGTTTGTTGCCTATACGGCGAAAATGAAGGCGCACACCAAATTAACAACACATACCAATAGGTTTACAATATTTTTCATCCGCTCAATCAAAGCTGATGGAGCTACAAAGATGTGAGGTTTTCAAATAGGCATTTGCTTCGTTTTATTTGCGATAACAGGTAGATTTATTGCCTATGAGCTAAATATGAAGGTATGGACTTCAAGAGATCGCTTTTTCCTAACGGAGTGGATAATTGTTGGGTGGTATACGCCACAATGGAGCAAGCAGAATACGTCACTGGTCTAGAATAATTTGCTTTAAAAGTTAATTTAACTCTTTCTTTTCTTCCTTTTTTTCGGTTGTCAAAGATGACATGTGTATTCGGCGGCAAATGCAAAAGCAAGGCGAGATTGGATGGTAAAGTGGTCGTCATAACGGGGTGCAATACAGGAATTGGCAGGGAAACCGCTTTGGAACTTTACAAAAGAGGTAAGCCACGAAGAGAGAGAATGTATTTGTTTTTTTTTCGCGCTGCTGTGACGTCAGATTAAAATGGAGAGAGTCAGAGGGGCTTAATTGCACTGCGACTTGCATTTCATCCGACAATTATTTAATCTGATACTGGTTTGAAGGGAAATTCTTCCCAGAATTTTGGTGAAATTACAATGAAAAGAAAGAGAGTAGTAGTAGGAGCAGTAGAATTCGCTCATTTTATGGAGGTACCTGAGCAACTTTGGCCATTCTGTGATATGATTGGGGTGCAGATTTTGTTACAAAATGGGAAGAAAGAATGAAATATCAAGACAGGAAGAAAGAAAATCAGCCACCACACATAATTTTAGATGAAAAGTATCCATAATTGATTCAATCAATAACGTATCAAATGAAACGTGGCATTTATTGCCACTTCGCAGAATCGTAATGTTTAATAATTTTTTTTTTTCTGTGATGGTAAATTTTTTGGCGCGCGCAATTATATTTAATTGCAAACTTATGTCTACAGCTAATTTTAATTTTTAACTTCGATAAAATGTTGAGGTGCACGTGTGATTATGGCTTGCCGGAACTTAGAAAAAGCTAAATCAGCTGAAAGGGACATCAAGCACGAGACTAAGGGCCTCTTAAATGTCGGCGAAATTGTTGTTAAAGAACTCAACCTAGCGTCGTTTAAGTCGATCCGCAAATGCGCAGATGATATCCTGGCTTCAGAAAAGCACATCCACTTTCTCGTCAACAATGCAGGTAAAATCAATTTTATCCATGATGGTTTAAGCCAATTAATGGTATTTACGGTATATCTAAGTAAAAATGATGTAACTAATACATAGCCTAGTGAGGATAATTCTGTACCACGATGGGGGAAAAAACACCAAAAATTTGACCCTTCCCCATCATTTCGAAGTTAGAGAACGATAATTAGGAAATTCGAGAAAATGTGGTTAAATTTTGCCAAAGCTAAATGTTTATGCTCACGGGACACTGTGGACGGTCCTTTCATTTTTAAAACCCGTTTTTGGAACTTATTTTCGCCAACGATTACTCTCCACCGGCCAGTCGCGTAGTCATGAGGTCGGGGATTTATATAAATAAGATAAATGCTCCAGCTTTATTTCTGGAAGGAAAACTCTCGCAAATTTTCCAGTAACAAAACCTACAAAAGCTGTGCATACCAACATAAATACAAGAAAAAACCGGTTCTTGTTGAATTACCATTATAGCGGCCAGCGCTATTCTGCGGCTGAGTGGTGTTGAAAACTTCACAGCGATTGAGAGCGAAAAAAAGGGGGGAAAACACCCAAGGCAGACGAATCTTTCATTGTGTACTATGTTACCACACCCTAGACCCCCCCCCCCATGCAATAGGACGCGCAGGATGACTATCTGATAATTACTGCTCATGTTTAAATAACGATGTCTTGATGTCGAGGACATTTTTCAGATCTTCTTAGACACCAGATCAGTTCTTACGTGTCATTCTCTTACATGCTCGATGCACTAATGAGTAGTCAACAAGTTACGATTCTCTTCCGCGGTTTAAGGAGTCAGTATACAAAGTTGGAATTTTAGGTCCACAGCGCTTGTGTTCTCCTCAAAAGTCTTCGTTAAATTTGAGACCAAAAAAAAATCACCCCAAAAATGAAATAAAAAAATAATGACAATAATGGCTAGTTGGGTCTTTCAAAACGCATACATGTGTACGTGCTGATTTTGCTGAAAGGAATAAAGCACTTGAATAGATGTTTAGATTGTGCATCTTTTTAGCCGAATCCCCCCCTCCCTCAAAGAAAACCTAGAGCACGGATCAAAATGAAACTACCCGACTCGGCATTTTTCGCTTTTTGACTGTTTTTTTTTTTTTACAAGCGGAATTCAAAACTGATTGAAGTTCCTGAAGTTTACGATCTTACCATCTTTTTGCCATGCTTAGGAAAAACCGTGTGTAGATATTCTGTTGCGGCCAAATTTCTCTAGACAGAAGACGTATTTTCTGGAAAATAATTGTGAAGTGCTTTTATTTATTTTTTTTTAAAAAAAACTTCATTCAAAATTTTATTAAGAATACTCCAAAATTTAAAGGACAAATCATACTATCTCCCCTAAAAATTGAGTAAATTACGAAATGCAAAATACGAATGCCTCCTTAGTGCAGACGTATCATAATTAGAGAAGAACTGAATAAATATTCAGTTCTTCTCTAATTATGATTTCGATCGTAAAGTAGGTGCACGTGTATGCATGGGGGAATTTTCCTTAAATGAACATTATCCTTGCCATCACAAAAGTATAATACTGTGTTTAACGCCAGGTGCATGCGGTAAAAACACAATTTCTCCGCATAAAAGTAGATGCTAGATTTTACATTCGACTAAATTAAGATACAAGTAGACTTATATACAATTGACTTGATCTCTATACACAATAAATGAATAGATAAAAAATGAATTGAGGATGTAGAATTATAAACATATAATTTATCATTCATTATCCTCTTCCCCCTTTTCCAATCATTTCCTGTTTTCACATATTGAGAAGCTGTGTTCACTTTAGTTCGTATGAAATTTTTTATTCAGGTGTTTTCGCATGCCCTCGAGAGCTGACAGAAGATGGTCATGAACTTCAATTCGGAACAAATCATCTGGGGCATTTTTTATTCACCTTGCTGTTGTTACCGAGGATAATCAGGTCTGCTCCAGCAAGGATTGTTACCATCGCATCATTGGCTCATATGTGGGGTAAGGACCTGCAATTTTAATTTTTAATTTATTTTTTGAGACATTTTTAGTGGATTTATTTAAAAACGAAGTTAGGTAGATTCCATTCTATACGAAATTAAGCTAATCTATTAGGTTGTGCGAAAACCAAGGCAAAACTGCTCTTCACGCAGGCAGTTAAAAGGGGGTTAACTTATGTTTGAAATAGACCTTAATATGACAGACTCAAATCGTAAGAATTTCGGATGAGGAACTTTAGAAATCGGGAGAAGGAGAAGAAAATGAAAAAGAGGAGAAGAAAAAAAGGAGGAGATGATGAGAAATACGAAAAAAAGAAGACTCTAACTTGTTTTGATTTTACCTAAATATACGTATGTGTTAAAATATCCAGTAATCCCTGGTAAAAATTGGCGATAGGAGCTACGTTTCAAAATACCATAGGAGTTCTTATAGCCGACTGAAAGAGACGATAGAAAATCATATAGCTGGCTGTAGAAAGTGGAAAAAATCATACGGGTGGGCTACACGAAGCGATAAAAAATTATACAGCCGGGCTATAATTCCTATCGCCGGGCTTTACACTTGATCGCCTGGCCGTTGCTTTTTCGCCATCTGCTATAAAAGGCTATAAGAAATTGTGTAGAAATTCGTGTGCTTTGTAAATCCATTAGTTTGTGCGGAATCACCTTAATATTTACAAAACGCACCTTATATTTCCCTTTACTACATATTTTTTTTTCATCAATTGAAATGAGAATAATCCATACAGAGTGTGCAAACATTTCAAAGTCACGAGTTGAAAAACGCTGACTCCACGAGATTAAATACTAGAGTCTAACACGAAGCGGAGCGGTGGCGCACTGGCGCCTACAAACCTAACAGGGATACTTCACGCATTGCGCAATGCGTGAAGTATCCCTGTTAGGTTTGTAGGCGCCAATGCGCGTCTCGCGCTGGCTGCCCGCCCGCCGCGCCGCGCCGCGGCGTATCACGGCGCTTGAAGCAATTATTTCACACCAGAGGTATTGCACAGTATCATACGAAATTAAAGGCGCTCCAACATATTAGGAATGGCAGGCATCCTTCAAAAGTACGGAGCTTTCCTCGCAAAGTAAATCAAGATACTACGGCCCAAGAAGAGAGCGGTAGTCCAAAAACTCGCTAAGTCCTAGCATCCGGAATTAGTAACGATTAGCATACACTTTATCGCCAGGCTGTTGCTTAGTCGCCATCGGCTATTAAAGGCTATAAGAAATTGTGTTGTCGGCTATAGAAGCTATTGGAAATCTTACAGCCGGCTGTAGGTCTGTGGTATTTTGGAACACAGATTCTACTGCCAATTTTTACCAGGGATTGAATCTTTGGTGTTGGAAAGTGCCATGATTTTTCCACGTAATGAGCAGGAATCATTGAGCGCCATTTCTCCCGCTAAAACTGGTGAATTTTGATGAAATGTGTTTAAAAATGAGCAATAAAACGATATTACAATGCCATAGCTTAAAAGGGATTATTTCTGTATTATTTGACGCAAAGAATACCTAAAAATTCCAAAAATTACGCTTTGGTAGCAAATCAAAGTTGGAGGACCAAAATTGAAGAAGTCGGATAAAAGCACTGTTCAATGTTGCCAGTGCTGTTGCTCTTTTTCTTAACAATTGAATTTAAATGCTCGTACACAGAATTGTGGCTTGAAGCTTTGACCCAGCGAATTTGAAAGGGTTCAGCACTGACGACTGCGTTAGGATGTAGGGATGTTTAAGGGTAGAATTGATAACCAGGGTTTTAAAATAATATCATTAGGTATCGGGTTTATTGAACAGCGTGCGCAACACAAGATATAATATCGAGATCTCTCAACAAAATTGAAATTAGATCATAACTCGCACAAGTCTGAAAATCTCTTAAGGAAGAACTGTCGAAATCATTATGCGAAACATCATGCCATGTTTACGTATTCAAAATGCATAGAGGCGCAGGCAGCGCAGAACGTATGAATGAAACAAAGCATTATTTTACAATGGACTGGGAATGGAATGGATACCTATTTTTGACTTAAAGTCAGGTTTTTCGCAATTTAGATTATTTCCACATTTTTCAACTCCCAGCGCATTTTGCCTAACTCTATTAGAAACGTTGATCCCGATCTTATAAAAACCGAATGCTTATTTCTCGAACTCAAGATTTTTATGTAGCCAAACACATTTTTCACATGAATTTATTACATCCTTTGCACAGGCGATGGGAAAATGCATTACGATGATATCACTCTCGAAAAATCGTATTCACCCACTGATGCTTATGGCAGAAGCAAGCTAGCAAATATTTTTTTCACAACTGAACTAGCAAGAAAACTCGAAGGTAAGTAAATAATTTCACACTGAAGTATGTAGATGTACATATGATATTTACATGTGAACATGGGGGAACTAGGAGAAGTGGGGAGGGGGGGGGGGTTCCAATCTCTAGCCTCTCCTCAAATTAAATCCGGATTTGTTTCTCTCTAGGGAATTCTATGGAAAAAGTGCGTGACATTTTTGTCATGTTTGAAATCGCAGTTCAATCCATTCAGCAAGAAAAGCTCAAAATTGCTTTTAAGTCACGCGCCTCAATTTTTAAACATTTTTCTAAAGCCTCCTTTTGGAATTGGGTAAGTCACCCGCAGTAACTGCTCATGAAACGTCATTTAATGCACAATTTCGTGCGTTTAAAACTTATTGGGTGCACCAAAAAAAGAGAAGTTGATATAACATTCTGGATGTTAAAAAAGTGTGCGAGAACTTACAAAATGCTTAATTAACCGCTACAGCAGTTACTTAAGCAATGTCAAAATGTAAAACTAACTGCGGCAGCGGGTAATTTAGCATTTTGCGAGTTCTCGCACACTTTTTTTACATCCAGGACGTTAAACCAACATCCCTATTCTTTCGTGTGTAGTTGCAGAATTCATGAACGCCTGATACATGCAACTATTTTAACTTGACGGATGTCCATGTTGCATATCCAAAATGAGGAAGGCGCGCACCGACTTTCCTCGCGCACTTCCGAACTGATCATCGTGCTGAATCTTTGTCGCCATTTTCTTTCTATCTGTTGCAGGCACGGGAGTGACAACTTATAGCCTGCATCCTGGGCTAGTTCATACAGATCTGTTCCGTCATTTGGATAAGACGGTGTCTCCGACTTTTCAAGATGTGTTTTTAAGTCGGTGCGTCACAACTTTCCTTAAATCATCCCGCCAAGGTGCCGAAACAACTCTACATTGCTGTCTCGATGAAAAAGCGGGAAAAGAAAGTGGGCTTTACTATTGGTGAGTTTCATAAGTGCAGTGTCAGTCGAATTAAGATATTTAAGCCGTGGTAGGTTAAATCACTCAGTAAGAATCAACATTAAGGGGAAGTTGGCATAAATTGACCACCTTTTGCAATTAGGAACTACAATTTCCGGCTCAGTCTCGAAATAACGTATGTACCATTATTTTCCCTATGGACCTAAGTGTTTTTATGGATGAATAATGATATTGCAGTTCTTAATTGCAAAATGTATCTAGTCCAAAAATAGTCCGAGAATCTAAACTTCTAATTTAAATGAAAAATAGAATAAAATTTTAAAAATCTTGCAAAAAATCTCGCGTGCAGTTTTTTTTCCAGTATTTAATGTTTGACTGCTCTATTTGTGAATTTGTACGTAAGAAATATACTTACAGTTTCAAAGTTTGAGGTATAAATTATAAAGTGGATTCTTCAAACTAGAGACTGATTCTCAACTATATCTTAAGAAAATCAGTATTTTTATCCATGTTGGAAAATTGATGTGATTTATCCTTTCGTTTTAGGATTCGCTTTTACTGCTTTTTTAAAATATTTTTTCATAATTTTACAAAGAAGGTTCTTTTTTCAAGATTTTTGAGTAGCCATCGCTTCATACATGTTAGGTGGTTTTTTTTTTTTTTTTTTTTTTTTTTTTTTTTTTTTAATAATGACGAAAAACTAAAAATCTGTTTTCGCCCTTGATCGAACCGGGGACCTTCCGCGTGTTAGGCGGATGTGATAACCACTACACCACGAAAACAAGTGATGAACTACATAATCGTCGCGGCTCCAAGAACCGTGCAGATAGGTATTCTCAGTGAATGTCAATAAAAATTAATGATACAGCGAAAAATTGGCTTTCACGGACTGGCGACCGAGGATTTTATAAATACAGCCCACTTTTCTTTCCGAATAGGATAATTCAGAGGACGAAACCTTTTTTTCAAGACAGATTTTTTAGTCTCTTATTTACCTATATTAACTAGTAGATAAGAAGATTTTGATTGGAAAAGAGATTAAAAATAAAACAAAATAGGCCTGTAAAAAAAAATAAGTGTACGAAAAAGAAAAAGATTAAGAGTCAATCAGATTTTGATTGTGGCTAGTTATTGGCTGGTTCCTTAGTTATCAATTTCTTTCTTCTCTCTTTTATATCTTCATTTGTTGTTTCTTTTCAGCGATTGCAAACCAAGAATAGTCATGAAAAGAGCTCGGGACCAGGAAAAGGCCAAGGAATTATGGGAATACAGTTGGAATGCAGTTAGTTTACCTAAGGATTATGATCCATTCGTTAAAGGTTAATCCCAAAAATTACAGCAGAGCCCTTTTTCAAGCAACCCAAATGATACTAGTGTACAAAAAGGCAGAAAAGCGAAATGTTCTAATTTGGCTATCAAAGAGCTCAAAAAGAAGGGTACATGAAAAATGAAAGTTTTTTCTTGCCTGAGTATATATTTTCTCTTCTTATTTGAATCGAACTGGATCAACAATGGTTAAAGAGCCATAATGCGACGTAAGACGTAACGTTTAAAATTGAATATAAGTAGTTGAATATAAGTTGCATTTATCTAAATGATAATTTTTTACTGAAAGTATTGTTTTTACATGAGAGCCATTAGAGCACATACACATATAAATAACTTGTTATATTTATTTTAATTGATTCGCCGTTCTGCATGCTATTTCTCCTCACTGCCCGCGGGGAAACTCTGCACTGCCAATACTTAAGTGTAAAAAGTCCGAACTTGCATGCTTCATAGAAAACATATCCAGTGGATGGTTTGCTAAGTAATGAAAGAAACAAATTAAAGCTCTTTCATTTAAGAACAATAATAAATGTCATGTGGCAGTATTAAATTCGATTACGAATATTTTATGATAACCTTGTTTCAATAAATTTCCAGGATTTTCATACGTGAAGATGGAAAGTGAACTGTTCCACACGCACACTAATGTCAAATAGCGAAAAAATAGGTACTTATTCTTACCCGTAGGCACATTTCTAATTGGTAAATTGGTAAATGTGAACGTGTGTGTAGATGCCAAGAGCGCCTTCAAATATATGAGATACAATTTGATGAATTATTGATCAGAGCATTGGTGCATGTGACCGTAAGTGTTGTAACACGGAACTTTTCAATAAGCCATTTTTAAAAAGATCTTTTCATTGAGGCAATTTCTGATTATTTTAACACAATGCAAGTTCATTACTCTGAAGACTTGCTATGACAGTGAATATTACTGTATGTTCAACAGTTCCTTGGCTGTAAAATAAAGCACATTCACGGTGAAACTCCTAAACCAAGCGCGACCTTCGGTTTGCGACGTTGCAGACTTTATGTCGATAGCTTCTCATTGGAGAACTACTCAACGTCAATTAATAATAAAAACTTCTGTGATTTATCTCCTTCGTACAAAGCAAAACCTGAATAAATCAAAGAAAGAAAGACATCATTATGTAGGCGTGTTTTTCTTTAAGAAAACAAAATAGAAACGGAGACTTTAAAACGCCGCAAATAAGATACGTGGTTTGGGAGTTTCATGCAGCGTAAAAGCAGTCGTGAAAGCACTGTGACGCGAACTCGCCAGTTGTTACCGATCATCATTCATCATGTTCGATGCAGTCTACATATGCTCACAATCATGTATAGGAAGTTGCATCTAGAGTATTTGAAGGCACTTTCGAGCGCTTGCTCAACAGATTATTCAGCTACAAAATTGAGCACATGCAGCTGATGCAGCGCGCGTAAAAGCTACCACCGTGACGCGGACTCGCCGGTTATTATCGAATCTCGTTGCTCACAATCATGTATAAACAGTTGCAGCTAAGGTATTTGAAGGGACTTTCAAACGACTAAGAAAAGCAAGTATGTGCTAATCTTTTCATTACTTATTATCGCAGCTCCCTCCCTATTTTTCGGAATATCCGAGGCCATATACTCAGGGTCGTACCTTCATTTTTGTGCGGGGCCTATTACGATCAGGTAATTTCGCGACCAATGGGATGATTCGTATATTTATTTTATTTTTGTTCTGTAGCGGCAATAAGGCGGAGAACCTCACATCATATGCGTATGGTAAGAGAAGGAGGATCGATTTTGGAAAAAGTCCCATGGGAAACGGTTTAAAAAAATGAACCCCTACTAATTTCATTTTCAGATTTGAATCTATCTGATCCCATTTCTGCTTCGACCCATTTCTTGACTTATAGTTATTAAATCCTCCATGCCGATGAGAATTGTAGTATTTTATCCCTACCCATTTCAACGTTATGGTTTTACATGTATAGACTGGACTCCTCATAGTATTCTCATGACAGTTTATGACTGATGAATTACAGAAGAAATATACCTTCAACAGGATGATTTTACTAGCTTCCACGCGAATTTGATAGTAGTAATTACACGTATTACTGCCAAACGGAACTATGTGCATCAAGACAGGAGCCCTGAGACCCATAAAAATATATGCATAACAGGGCTCACATCGTGATGAACATAGTTCCGTTTGGCAGAAATACGTCCAATTAAACCGCACCTTAGCGTCAAGAACATTAGAAATTGTTGCGTCATTAGACAATAAATGTAATTCAAAGTGAACAAGAGCAAAATTTTCTTGATGTACAAGTGTGAGTAACGAAGTCGTTTTTCGCTTTCTTTCTTTTCTAAACTTTTTTTTAAAAACTTGTTCCACTTTTTAACGCTCATGCACGAAACAGTAATGGACTTTTTTTTAAACGCTTGCAATGCGTATAACGCTCATTAGCTTAAGAGTTAGGATACTTCTCTCATCATCCGGTTCATCCATCGTTCGATGCTGTCAATGGAAGGTCTGCACTTAAATCGATTTGAACGTACACTAAAATGTAATGATGTACACAGTCTGCGTATAGCCGTCGATCATACGAAAAAATTGAGCGCAAAAAAACGCACTTAGCGTTTTCACTCATGAGGTACATATTTTGTTAGCATAAAAAACACATGAGCCCTCTAATGAACATCTTTAGTCGTCAATAAGACGTCTAGTCGTTTAATCTCCTAATGTCTCGTACGTGTTCTGATCAGATGGAATGATGTAATTTAATGACGCATTGGTCTCATTTTTAGACTGATTTTCGAGCATACCGTAATGGATCTAACTTCCTCTTCGCAAAATAACTGCAGAGATCAAAATGCGAAGTATTCCATGTTGCGAAATAAAACATTTTAAAATCTTTAACAGCCACACAACCTTTTAGAATGGTTCATTTACCTCACAACTTATATTTAAATGTTTATTATGGTTTATTAACCTAATACGAAAGAATTAGAGCTTTCCCACTTGTTTAATTTTTAGTCTTTTTACAAATTTTATTTCTAGACATGTTTCAGAATTGTTAATTTAAATGTCAAATAAAATGCTATATAAAAAGATTTGAGAAAAAATGTATAAGTTTTTCAGAAACTGCATATATTTATAAAAAAGCATATATTTAAATAAAAGCAACGTTTAAATACTTATACCGCATGCATTGTGCTTTTTGTCGTATACTGAATATCTAGCAGTAAGTCCACGAATGAGGAGATGGGCCTGTTGCAGTCCGAGAGGAGCATTTGACTAAACTAGTTTTCTGTTTTTCATAAGATTTCAATATTCTTCTGGAGGACCATTTTACTTATCGTTCAATCGGTCGACGGGCTTCAACTGTAACTAGAAAATGACATATCAATGCCATGTTATAGGCAAGACCGCCGTGTGCTTCTTCATGTGGAAAGTAAAGTATGTCAGGAAAGCACCGCCGCAAACCGAGATATGCATTCCTGCAGTTCCATAATCGATAGTCTTGTTTATTTACGTTTAAAACAAATGACAGACACATTTTAGGTGCAGATGTTGGCAGAAAATTGAAGCTCTATTTTGCCCAGGACAGCAGTAACTATGACTCTCTCGTGACATCATGCCGGTATTCCTGCTACTTCTCCGGATATGATGTCAGTTCTTACGCTCTTGGTGCGATCTCTAACAATCCTAGTATTTTACAAAGAGGGCAAATTTTGTACCTTAGCGGAATTGATCAAGTCAATTCAAATTGGATGGTAGAAATTTTGAAGAAACTTCGATTTTGAGAACTTTGCTGTCCCTGCACTCTACAATAACACGGTTGCGTATATTGCCGTGCCAGGGAGGAACGTCGTAAGAGCATTCCAATATTGCCAAATATAACCTGATAAAAAATGTATTTTTGAGGTAATTTATGCGCATATTTTTCACCTGAATCTCCAGATATTTTAGATTATATTGGAAAGAAAATACTCTGAAAAATTGGAGGAAAAATATTCACAAGTCTCCAAGGAAAATAGTGATTTACTAAAATAAATTTGGCAACGTTCGAAGGCGCATGCGGCGTTTTCCCTTCAAATGGCAGTACAGTCCATAACTAGAAAAAAAATAGACATAGGAGAGGGCGGAGACGTGGCTGAGAAAACACACAACAATTACAAATCATGGAACGTATTGATCCAGTCTCCCGGTCATTATCAACTGGATTACATTTTGCAATAAGAAACCATTATTTCTGGCTCGTTTTAGAAACAACATATATGTCATTGGTTTCCTTGGACAGAAAGGTGCTTTTATGGAGGAGCTTGAGATTGTGGTTCCTTATTGCAAAATGTAATCCAACTGTCGAAAAAAATTAAAAATCTAACATAACAAAAGCTAAAAACAACGTTACCGGTCCCTGGTCATGGCGGCCAGAAGGCCCATAACTCGCGACCATAACTTAGTGTAATTATAGCGTAAGCTTGCAACACCGACCGCTGGAATCTGAGGCTAGGCGCATCCGCGATGCACCCAAGGCTGCACCTGACTCTGTTTGCGTTTTCGTGTCATCTAATAGCAAGCCTTGTTTTCCCATTTTCATCCGCGAGCCCCCTTTGATCTTCTCATTATCCCGGCTCTCAATTTTCTTTTCAATTTGCGACACGCACGCAGCAGTATTTCGTAGCGTTTTCCCTCGTCAGCGTGAGTCTTAACCTTCTCTTTATCCGGAGGCAGGCGAAAATATCGGATAGTGTTCAACATCGGTGGTGCGAAGCCGTAGAAAATCCGGACGAGAGGTATCAAGTTGCCGTTAGACGAAGGAGTTGACACCTCAACTGTGTCGTCCGCGTTTTGCTCGGGTTCGTTTTAAGGCATCTTCGCGGGAGGCTCCTAATTGCAAGTGTAATTATTTTGAAGAGCTTTCATAAGGTGTTTTCCCCAGCAACAGAGGGCGCAGTCATCAGAGGTGCACTTGCTTTAATCACGGCGTGCTGTGCGACGAGACGCACGGGCTGGCTGTAACTGTTTACATTGAAAATTTCAAGCTGGAAATACGTTGTTGTGTTATCAAAACTTTCCAAGATAATTTCGACAGTGCGTATGCGTCGGCACGCGGTTGTAAGCGAGTGATTTTTTTTTTTATTGTGTTGAGAGCGCCATCGTTCTCTAGCTCCCAGTCGTTGTGTTTACTGTGAACTCGATGGTGATTTTTTCAATGTGTGATATTTGATTCCGGAAGTTCACGCGGTTGTCACCGATGTTGACCGAGTACGTTGGTGATCTGATTCTCCCGGGATTTCTGCTCAATTTATGGGATCTTTTTATTGACATCAATGTAAGTACGGTCGAATTAAGTTCTAATGCTCTAACTATTGTTTATGATTGATCTTATGGGCTTTGGGACGCATAGGCAGATCCAAAGTGGGGAGGGGGATGTATGGAGTGTGCGCCCTCCCCCCCCAGAGTCGGACTGGCGTAAAAAAAGTTAGGCAGCTACTAGGATTTTGGGGCCCCTGACGTAAAAACTAGGCCCCTATGGGGGGTCTGGGGGGTTGCCCCCCAGGGATGGGGGGGTCCGGGGGTCCTCCCCCGGAAAATTTTGAAAATTTAACCCCTGAAAATAGAAGTTTTAGGCTCTCTTCGCATTGAAATTTGATAAATAGCGCCTCCGAAAATGTTACCAATTTTTTAGATATTTTTTGAAAAATTCGGCGATTCCTCTTGTTGATAAAGAAGCACATAACCTCCTCAAACTTTACGCATGGGCCTCGGCTGGTATCTTTTCAGAGGCCCCGCCCCTGAAGTTACCTTCTCCCGGCTGCAGGGCCAGTAGGGGCGCCTCCAAAAAGAAGTCATCTTAAAGTGAGTAACCTTCAAAGACCGGAAAAAAGAGCTTTCGAGACCCAGAAGGGCCCCTGAAAGTGAAACTCTTTTTTTCGAGCCCAGGGTTAGGGGCCCCTGCTGACATATTTTCAAGGGCCCCAGAAGTGACCTTCTTCGGGCTATAGGGGTCTCAGAGAAAGAGTCATGCTGTTTAAAGTAAAAAACCCTTAGAGGCCGGGAAAATATAGCTTCGAGGGCCGCTCCAGGGCCCTTGAAGCTCATATTTTCCGATCGCTGAGGGGCCCTTTCAGGGGCCCCTGAGGTTACCTTTTTCCGGCCGTAGGGGCCTCAGAGAAGGTGTTATGAGTTAAACCCTCAAGGACTGAAAAAAACGAGGGGTTTTCAAGGATTCATTTCATTTATTGAAGAATAAATTCAAGGATTTTTTTCAAGGATTTTTCACTTTTTCATGGATTCATTTCATTTATTGAAGAATAAATTCAGGAATTGTCGGCTCAGGGGCCCCGTCGGGGCCCCTGAGCCGACAATTCTTAGGCAGCGATCGCTGCCTAGCTGCCTTAGCCAGTCCGGCCCTGCGTTCGCCCGCAAAAAGGCGGAGGAAAAAGGGGAAAAAGAAAGAAAGAAGGAGCAGAAGAAAGAAGATGGAAGGACGCTTGTATTTTTTAATTTTTCATGACAAAATTGACTCAAACTGCTTGTTAGATGCTTTAAAATTTCGAAAATTTTCTAGGGGGAGCCGCCAGGACCCCCCTTTACCCCCTTTCGAAGTGTCTAGATCCGCCTATGTTGGGACGTAAAGAGAGCCACATATTCTTCTCCTGCAACAGCTTAAAGTTGTCTATTCTTTACGGACCTCTCATCAACTAGGCTCACTTTAAAGGGATTTGCAAAGATTTTCTTGAAAATAAAACTCTCCTAGAACGAATTTAGTCGCATCCCAACAGCTTATCCCCCCCCCCCTCCGATTTACTTGAGAGGACCTCTTCCAATGAAGATGAGAGATCTGAGATGGGGGTATTTAGGGGAGAGGGGGCGGGGGGATAGAAATGATTTCTTAATAAGCTTTCTGTGCACATAAACCCATCCTCCTATCATGCTCGAAGTTTTCTAATAGCGAGTACATACATTTGTGCCCTAAAAATAGTGTATTTCCTTCGAAAACTAGGGGTATAGGGATGGGTTCAAAGACTGCAGTAAAAATATGGAATCAGCCTGTGGAGTTAATTTCAAAATACACTCTCTCTACTTTTGGTGTAGACGTAATGATTTTATCTCGCTCGAGTCATGATTCACTTTTATCAGAGCGTCAAAAATGAAGATGCATCCTGAAAGGGGTATCTTGAAGTGCGAGGTAAAATAGAGGAGGGCATCACTGCTACGTCCACCTCGTTGACCTGTAAACACTACTGAGATTTGTGTCCTCTATCTATTGCCCCGCCTTGTCTATTGTAACGAACGATGAGAACTCAAAAAACCATTTAAAATAGGAATTTTTAGTCCATTAAGAACATTCACAAGACGCATCAATTATGAAGCTAAAAAGCAAAGAGTACATTTTTACACTATGTTAAAAAGACACCGTTTCTCGTTGGCGGCATCTTGAAATGTCCTCCATTACTTGATTTTATCTCGGAAAAACAAACAAACATTATAGGATGAAATTAGAAAATATTTTTAGGCATACAACGAGAAATCGTGCAACACGTCGCAAATGTTCGCCGCATGTTCTACTGATTCTCATAGGCAGGATGAGAAGGGTGCCCTCAACTCAACCGTTAATGGGAGGACCCACGATTTACACGTAGAGAGTGGAAGGTTCCGCCAAAAAGAAGAAAAATTCCCAGTGAAAATGAGTGATAAACCAGCCCAATCAAAGAATCCTATCATTCTAATTTATCCGTGGTTGAAATCCAAGTTTGCTCAGTCGGAGATACCCCGAGGTTAGAAAGCAAGTCTGAAAACAAAAGAGACAAATATTATCTCATCGACTCGTTTCAGTTGTGATCTTACTTCTGTCACCATTCACTTAACTCTGCTTCGTTTCTATCGAAAGAGGTAAATCACAGTTTTTGCAAACACAACTTGCTTCCTCTTCAGCGAATCTTAAGGTATCTTACAGATTGTGTTCTTAAAGACGATTAGTTCAAAACTTAACTTAATATCCATAGATTTTTATACTTTAATGGTATTTTAGTTTTAGAGAAAAGTGCGAGGTACTTTAGTGATTTCGGAAGCTCAGATCATATTTCTTCTATTTTCTTTTGTGCCAGATACCAAAGCACAGTTAGCTTACAAGCCATGAGGATTTTTGCTGTATTTGATACATTTGTGCCAAGGGTAAGTCTCGGCGCAGTTTTATAAAGTTTTTAATGTAGACATCATTGCCTTACTCAGTCTATTTTTTCTTTTCGCACTAACATGTCATTATTTCATTTTGTTTACATACTTTAGCTCTTTAGTATACTGTGTTAATTTAGTAATTTTTTTTTTCGACAAACACAAAAATAGGATGAGCTTATCAACGGCGCGGCGTAAGTCCGCAACCAGCGGTGCTTGAAAATATCTGCAGCCTCCATCCCAAGTAGCATTTTTCAATGTAAAAGTTGCAAAAAGTTGAAACAATGTTGGTATTCGGTCAACTTTTGGTCGATAAGTGCAGATTTTCAGCGATCTGATCGGAAGACAAAGTTGCTACCTGCTGAGATTGAAAAATTGCTGAACCAAAGTTGTTGAAAATCTAAAGATAGGCAACCAGCAATACTTTGAAGTTGAAACATGCTCCAACTTAATTGCAACTAGTTCCAACAATGATAGCTCCTTCTGGGGAGAGAGTAGGCAATCTGCACATCAATCTATTAGTTGAAAGAATCAAACGATTTTGTTGCAAGTTGTTGCAACCTCTGCGGCTACTTGGGATATTATCTTTTAAAGGAGAACAAATTGACATCATTCCTTGAAGTTTCTGCTGAATTTGCTTCGCACAGAGAAGAAAGATCACGGCAGTTTTTAAGAATTGCAATTGCGTGGTTTTCCGTTCGAAAATAAAGTATGACAGGAAGTGCACACGCGACGATGTCGCAAACCAAAATACGTGGTTACGGACTTAAACCGTTGTAATTTTTTTAAGGAGATTTTTCGTCCATATTTAGAGCCGAGCCATTCAGTAATTTTACGTAAAAACTAATGATAGTAAATCATAGAAGTATCTCGACAATTCCTTTATTCCCCATTATCCAACAATATATCGTGAGGTAATTATTCGTGTGCTATTAACATTTTATAGGTGGCCGTGACACCATGTAAACATTTTGCGCCTCTTTGCATCATTAACACTTTATTACGACCGCGCCAACTCCTCGTTAATGACATTTCGAAGTCAATGATTTTATTTCTCTTTAACTCGTCTATCTAGGTACCCGCCCTTCCAGCTTCATAGTTTTCATGATCGGTTTATATTTGGGGATCGTGGAAAACAGGGCAACAACAATGATTTTAAGCGTCCGTTAGCAGAAGATTTTCCTGGAGGTTTTAACATTCAATTATTTGCGAGGACCAAGTTTTTGTACCCACGTGACCTGGATCAGGGACTGAATTTTTTTTTTTTTTTTTTTTTTTTTTTTTTTTTTTTTTTAAGCTCTGAAAAAGCTTCCTCCAAAGTAGCCTTTTTTCGGGGCCCATTGAGAGTTTTTTGACATGTGAATTAGATGAAACCTAAGTAAAGACAAAAGCCTCTGCTAGGATGTTAAACGTAATTTCAATATTTCTTCATGCGGGAGGATCTTTACCTATAAAAGTTTAGAGGTGAGTCCGGATTCCGTCCCGAAGACTCCGAATTGCGTCCGGCGGGACTCTCCGAACTGCGTCCCAGATCGCGTCCATTTAATTCTTAAGAAAAAGGTGTAAATGACAACGTTGCTCACCTTTTTCTCATATTGATACCAATGTCCGGAAAGTAGAATAAAATAAATAGGAATAAAGCGGTGAATGGTAGGGTTCGGTTGACATCAAGTTCCCACATTACGAAAACCGTTTGGCGAATGGAGATCAAGAGAGGCTCGTCATAAACTTTAAAACAAATGATCCAGGGTGTAAAGGGCCCTTTCGTCACGGTGGTTTTCACACTTTGAAACAAATAATCCAGGGTGTAAAGGGCCCTTTCGTCACGGTAGTTTCACTTGAAAAAATACTTTTTTACTGGCAAAAAATGTTTGCTGCTGCTGCTTTTTTTTTTTACAGAGTTGCTGACTTTTTGTCTCGTCAAATCGTTATCGTCAAGTTTTTTGTGATTTTGTTTCGTATCAGATTCAATAATTTCGCCGTCGATACTAACTTTTAAAAAACACCGGCAATTTTTCCCTGAACATGCTCGATCATCATCGATTGACATCGCCTTTCATATGCGGTGTTGCCACCTTCCCAATATATGCGCCGAGCGCAGTTCGGATAGATCTCGGGACGCAATTCGGAATGGTCAGGGACGCAATTCGGATA